TAATGCTTGCCCCAGAAAGGGGCAACACCCCCACAGCCATTGTCATTTATAAAAGAAGGTGTCTGAAGGCAGTCCCTAGCCAACGAGTATACATTGCCAATGTCTTCACATGACCACCAGTTTGTTTTGCCTGATAGATTACGTTAAGCATCTGCCTATGATTGGAATTACTCCTGTTTGGCTCTCATGCTCATGTTTCATCTATGTTATTCACATTTTTGACCATGCACATTGTAATTAAAGCTATAGATTTTGTGTAGCCTGACCTTTTAAGGGAGAAAATGACTGGTTATGTGTGATTTTAAACACCAGCAAAAAAGTTAGTCAAGAAAGGATTAAGAGTGGCTCTACTCTCCTGCCACTCATTCATTCAAAATCACAGCTTCCTAAGGCTGTTGTTCATATTTTAAGCTTACACATCTGTATGTTATGTGTCCTTTCTCCAATGATCTACTACCTTTAGTGGTGAAGTGAGATTCTGTTGGCTGTGAGACTATTAGAAGAGAGCCAGGGAAAGAAAAGATCTTTCTCTAACTCTGGCTCTACTTTGAAGAAAGGGAAAATCCATATCTATGTGGGTTATATTTCATTCTTGCAGACAAAAAATTATATCAGAGAATGCTTCATAGCTGAGAAGTTCCAAATTTGTGCAAGTCTTTGGAAAGCCTATGCTTTTTCATCATCCTTGACATGTATAATCATAGTTCTTTTGTTGATCTCTATCTACCTTTTATCCACTGGTGGCAAAATGTAGAGACAGTGAAAAGTTTCCGAAGTATGGACCACTTTCTGGCAATGTAGGAAATGAAGATTTACAGAAAGGTTGAATGCAGAGAGGATCTGCTATAAATTACGCACCACAGATGCTCACCATAGAGCCAAATCGATTTCAGCTTTCACATCCCACTGTGAAATATACACAGACGTTCTCATGGTGTGTTTGAGAAGTATGATCGAGTGGCAATATAGCCCCTGTCAAAGGCAGAGAAGGAATGTACTTCTCATCACAGTGAGATATTAGCAAGAAAGATAACATATGAATTTATACTAAAGAAGAAAAATGAGAACCAACACAGATTGGGGAAAACTGTCCATAACTCCTCCAATATTTAGCAAAAGTGTTGAAAAGTTAATTAGAATCCATTGTGTAATAGCTCAGAAAATCAAGTCCATTACAAAAGCCTACATTTATCTGAAATTCCTTCATAAAGTGATAAAAATGAGCTGCAGGCTCGACTCCCAGCCACACCCCTTATGACAATGTCTTTTGTGCTTTGGGGCTAGCTTAAACCATAAATTAATCCACCATCCCCTTCTTCATTATATTACCTTGGCCTTTTCCATCCTTTTGTCTTTCCGTGTGGCCTTTGGCATAGACCTTCTGTCACTTCTGGGAAATTTGGGACTTGCCTCAGCCCCAGATTTTGTGTTTAGGTCTTGTACAACAGTGTTACTTTTGACGTTGCCCAAAATGGGTAGGATGAAGTAAGAAAAGGAAAGAAATTGTTGTAGCAAAGCAGTGGAAGCTGATCCTCCAATGTTAGTGAGGTGGGGTGCTCACTTGGTGTTTTAGTCTGACCTTGTAAGGAGCCATCCATGGTACTAAACCCCACTGATCAGGTTCAGCACCATGGATAACTGCTCTAATATTCACTTTGGAACTAGTGATAGATATATTATTTCACTGACATTAGAGCCGTCAGTCATTGCTGGGAATAAGGAAACTCTTTAAAGAAATTGGAGGACTGCCAACATGGTCAGTGGGTAGTATTCGGTACTCTTAACGCTGCTGGCCCTAACGGCACTGGCTCAGCATCATTAGCACTTGTTAGGCAAAGGGAAACAGCGTTAATTTTCCACGGAAATTTGTTGTCAAACCACACTGCCAAAATATATTGGCAAATCATCACTTTTTCCCTTTGCTTAGCAGGTCCTAATGATATTGCAAGGCTAGTGCAATGCCATTAGCAGTATTCCTGCGACAGCATCCGATACCTGTAGAAAAGTTCAGTCGTGGAAAAAAGAGCACACATTTCATTATACATGAAATGTTCCCTGCCTCCTGGTAAGGAAAGGCAGAGGACGGTATCGGTTATGGAGAAACCCACTGGAGAAACCCTCCTTGGAGGCCTGGAGTTCCCAGAATGTGAAAGTGCCATGGGACACACGCTATCGTCAGACCGGGGAGGCTGTGCGGAAGATCCCTGTCAGAGCAGTGGGCTCTGGCTCAGATGCAGAGGCTGGGTGCCCCAGCAGGCCAGTAACAGGGAGTGCTCACTTGCAGGGAGGATTGATTCCACAGGGGAAGGGGCTCCTCATGAGTAGGGATCCTGCTCTGGTGTGTGGTGGTGAGGCCTTTGGAGGTGCTCAGCAGGCTCTGGCAATGAAAGTCGCCAGGGTCTGTTAGCCAGGGCTGGAAACACCACCATTCTTTCAGCTCCAGTGTCTTCTCCCTCGTCTGCCAGACCTTATCCTGTGACTGATGTCCCATGCTGCTGACCTCGCTTATCTCTGCTTCTAGGGTATGTAGCACACTCAGTTGCTTGGCTTTGCCTGCTCCTTTGACCACTCCTGCTTTAGTAAAAGAGAGCATATCTGATTGGATCAGGATCTATCTTCTTCCATGAGGAACTTCCACCTGATTTCCAAGGGATCCTCCTTCACCTGAACAACAATCCTGCATCCACACAACCCAGGGCAGCCCATTTGCCAGGGTCTACTGCCTCCCTGTGTATCATTTTCAGATACACAGAGAGACAGAAGAAGCGGCTGCTTCCGTGAGAACAGTCTGCTTCTGTAAGAACAGTTTTTCCAGCTTAGCTCTTGATCTATGAGTCAAAACAGGAACAAAAAGAGATAACATGACTCATAGTTATAAAATAATGAATTAAATAAATTGGCAATTTATTGCCCTTTCATGGAACCTCAGATCCGTCATTTGAGGCAAGTTACCTCACTCTTCCTCATGGTCAGCATGGCCTTTTGTTCCACACAGACTGCTGGCACCCTGAAATATCTGAAATGAGGTGAAGCAGTTCAGCATCTCATTCTGCCCATGTGAATCTTCCTGTCTGCAGTATTGCACAGAGAAGCCTTCTGCGTGAATTGCATAGCCTGCAGTAGTCAACAATGACGCGCATGATATTGCAACATCATGTTCCTCAGCTGCTGCAGTCTGTGGAAAGTGTTGCTGCAGGCTCTGTTTGCTGCACAGCCCTGTTTACTTGGAAATTTTCTCCATGAAGTTCCAAACATGGAAGGGATTATGAAGAGGAAATGTGTGAACCAGATGTATGTCAAAAGCTTAGCTTCAAAAGAGTAGAAGACAAAGTACACGTTACTATCTTATCATGGAATCAAACAGAAGAACATAAAAAGCCTCTCTGGATCCCTTACCATCTAGTCCAGCATCCTGTTCTGGGGAGGCCAGCCTGGAAGGGCCCAGAAATCCTAAAACTGGGGCATGGAAGCTTTCTTTCCACAAGTGTCCCATAGGAACTTCTAGTTGGTGGCCTATCTCCTCTGATCATGCAAGCAGCATGAAGCTATAATGATGAGTAGCTATTGCTAGAACTGCCCTCTTCCTCCATGAATTTGTCTAATCCTCTTTTAGAACCATTTAAGCTAGTAGTCAACCACACATCTTATTGCAGAAAATTCCATAACTTATACCCTTTAGGGCTTAAGTTCTGAGTCTCCCTGCTCCTGCAGCATGTTGCTGGAAACTGCAGGCATGGATGTGGATACAAATGATGGTTGAGAGCAACTCAAGCCACAAAGTAATTGTGTATGTGATGTCCAAGACAGCTCAAATTACAACACAGTATTTGGAGGAGTATCCCTGGAGTAAATGTGATGTGTACTGGCTGTAAGGTAAGCCTTCAGAAGGGTGACCCCAAGGTTATGTACAAGAGAAGAGAAAAGAAGATATTCTGGTGGCAAAGGCTGTGAGTGACTCGTATAGGTCAGAACAACAAATTTCAGGATATTTAACTTGATGACCCTTGAATGTTTTTCTTGAGCTCTGCAGCAATAACATTTGAAAATTTTTGTGAAAGGATGCATATGCAATTTTTGTTTATACACCAATATTTTTCTCAACAACTTTCAACATCATTAACAATTGTCATTATCAATATCATCATGGTATCCTTCTGAGGCATCTGTTTAAGAATGGAAGCATTGTTATGTGGTGGTTCTTTGAGAGGTGTCCTTAGAAGGTGACTCTGGAAGATACCTGTTTGATATCATGACTATTGGCTCACAGTGTTCCTCAGTGCTCCATCTTATTCCCCATGCTGGGCAATGTATACATAAAATGGCTGGGATAAGTCAGGAGTCCTGAGGTTCTGTGTCACTGGTACACTGATGACACCCAAGTCTATTTCTCCTTTCCATCTAGTTCTAAATCAGTGCCTGATGTCAGAAATGGACTGGTGAACAGATTCAAGCACACTCCAACTGGGACAGAGCTTATCTGGGTTAGCTAAAGGGCAGATAATGGGGTCTAGCATGTGCTGGATGGGGTTACACTCCCCCTGAAGACTCATAGTTTGGGTGTACTCCTGGTCTTGGCCTTGAACATAAACGCCCATTGTGGTGGTGACAAGGAACGAGCTGATGGAGCCAGGCCAACTGTGTTCATTCCTGAAGATGTCTGATGGGCACACCACCACTCAGGTGTTACTGGCATCCCACTTGGACCACTGGAGGTGTTTCATGTGCAGCTGCCTTTGAAAACTGTTTGGAAACCTCAGTTAACCTGGAATGCTTCAGCCAGACTGTGGATGGGGCTGGTTACAGGGATTGAGTCTGGCCGCAATTCAAGCTGCTGGTTATGAAGTATAAAAACCCATATGGCTTGGGACCAGAATAAGGTATTGTTATTATTTTCAGCCAAGTTTGTGTGTGTGTATAATTTCTGTGATACTCAGTGCACTTAAGGGCGATTTGCATGGTAGAAAGCTGACATCAACATGTTTTCAATAAAAGAAAAGTACTGAAAATTCAGAGTATTTGTTTATTTAATGCATGCATTCACACATGAATCTAACCATTAAAAAACCCACAACAAAATGCCCAAGGGACTCCACTGAGTAATAATGTTTATGGATAATGTTATAACCTCATTTAAGGTCCAGCCTTGGATGAGAACTATTGCTCTGAAGATAACTAACTACATTTCCAGTGTCTTTGTCAAATGTGCAATGGATTCATAGTATGAGTAATTTGCAGAGAAAGTTTGCTTTGGAGAACCCTGCTCACCAAAATACCATAGTATGATAACACACACACACACACACACACACACACACACACACACACACGCGCGTCCGTGCACACACCCCTAACCAAAAAGCTACTTTTTTTTAACATTCCAAGCAGGAGTGGCAAACCTCCAGGATGCAGGCAGAGGTTTCGGCTCAGCCCTCATCCCCTGCTGTTCTGCTTTCAAGGATTCCATCTCTCTTCCTGACCTGCTGGAGCCTCTGGCAGGAGGCCAGGCTGTCTCTGATTCCCCTGCATGCTGAGCCCCCTGCCCCTGTGGTGCTGCTGACAGCTGCCTGACCTTTCCAAATGCTGCCGCTGACCCTCTCTGTAAGGCTTGCATGTTTTCCAATATCAGCGCTTGACATCTAATGCTCCAGGCCTAGCAAATTAAGCCATTATTCTAGAAGACCTCCAATCATGAAAATCATGCATTCTCTCCACTCAAACTATTCTACCATTATAGCTGGGACTGCAAAGCTGAGAAGGAGGGTCCCAACTGGTCTTGCAGAGATTCCCCCTTCTGACTCCACCCCTTTCACCCAGTCACCAAGCATTTGGTGGATGACTGCTTTGGGCATGGATTTTCAGCCCATGTCAAAGGTTGAAATGCTTCGTCTGAAAGTTAGTTGCTGGCAGTAGAAACAAGCTACCATTTTTTGCATTATTGGTTCTGCCCCATTATCTTTGGCCTCACCCATCACTGGATGGCAGTCCCCAAGCACTTTTCCAAAACTGAATTTGGCCTCTGACTGAAAGAGGTTCTCAACCTCTTTACTACAGTATGTTAACAATTGCAGTGCAAACAAATTTAGAACAAATGCAGCGAATGTTCTTTCCTAGTATTTCCAAAACTATTGTCTGTCCCATAATATTCGGAGTCCTAATAAATATCTGCAGGGGATCCTGGCTGCCTTTCTTTTTGTTTGTATGTTACATTTTTGAATGTTGTCGTTGAGCCTTTGTACAATGGGTTTGTTCCCTGGAAAAGAAGGAGGGAGTATTAAATAGATTTTCTATGTGGCATAAGAAGGTGTACTCAACACAGTATTAATACTATGGTACTACCTTTCGTAACTATTATTGCTTTTGTGATGTAATCCATTCTTAATGACCTGAACAAATGTTAAATAAATGTCTCCAAATGAGAAAGATTATAGAAAAATATGAACACCATCAAAAATGGCATCAGGAAACGAGCACATCTGTCTGCAAACTATAACATATAAAGAAGCCTTTCACAGTCTTCAAGACAAATCTCAAAAAAAGAGAAGAATCCGTATTTTTGTGAAATATAACTATAACATGAACATAGCTGCAACATGATACTATGATGCCATGCTCACTGGATACTGTCAGGAGGAAGAGCCTGAGCAAATTTAGCAGCCATGCGCACGCATGCACGCCCATACCCATGCACATTAGTTCCAGGTACCAGCCTAGGCCTGGCCAGACATTTTGCCAGATATGAAACAGAGAGCTGAGTTCAGTTGCCAGAGAACTAGGAATGCCAGCCAGCTTCTGCTTCTTCCTCGGCTTCACAAGGCTGACCCATGGAGGTGAAGAGGTTACTGGTAGACATGACTGATCTGATTTCAGCTATGGGGATCTGCAACTAACATTGGATGATACACATCTACTGAGTGAATCTTTCCCAGCTTGAGTCTTACAATCTGAAGGGCTAAAGTGTTCTTGTGTCTGGGGAAGAAGCATGTGAAGAAGACCCATGAAAATTTATCTTACATATGTTAATTACTCTGCAGAAGTATAACTAGTCCAGTGGTGCTACTATAGGTTACCGTTTGAAGTGAGGGGATGGCTTGTTGAAAACCACATGGGACAATATCCTGCTGTGCCCATGTTCTCATGGGGTCACTGCTTATGCAGCAGGGCTTTTGCATTTCTGAAATAATCTGAAATGAGCGCAATGGGACAGGTCAGCTGAGTTTGCAGAACAGAGCTCTGCTTACTTTGTACAACCCAGAAATGAGTGTTTTTTTCTGAGTTTTGTTTTGGTAGGTAATGCAAATGCAAGTGGTAGGTCCTGTGAGTGCAATGGAATCAGTGGAAGCGGAGAAACCTCATTGGGAATTGCATACCTTCTTTACTATTCCATAGTTACCTGGATCACATTTTAAACCCCGAAGCCTGTTTTCAGATGAACCACACTGATGAATGAAGCCTGAAAAAAGCAGCTCTCTTGACCCTGATGTTCTTATATCCTGGTCCTATAGCACAGCCTGCGCTGTTTGGAGCCATTTGTATCAATGACCTTCGCAATGGGTGATGTGTATATGTGTGTGTTAATGGTGTTTCATTCTCGGTGGCTCGTGCTTTAAGCTACAGATGGGATCATTTATTTTAAGCTGCTTGAATAAGGATGTGTGAAAATAAACATTTTGCTTAGGCAGGTATTTTGTATAGGATTAGGAAAGTTCTGTTCTCCCAGTGGAGAATTGAAACATTGATCCATTTCAGTCAGAGTTAATAGTAGACTGTATTGGTTGGTCTGTATTAAGAATAACCTGCAACCAAATTTGCCCCTCTGTAAACACATGTGACTTTATCTTTGGCAGGTGTCAAGGGGCTCATTCCTCCTGCACCTAATTGGTGTTTCCTAGAACTTCAAAAATAAACTAATTACATGTTCTGCCTGTAAATGACAATTTAATGTGAGATGAATACTAATATGTTTCTTCCTGATGGAACTAGTTTTGACATGCACTTTGGTATGTTCTGTGTGTGCATTATTTCTTTGAACTAAAAAGAAGCCTTCTTCTAGTGTCACTAAAGATAACCTCTCTCATGCATCACAGGATACAGATCATTTTGGCACCAGCCAGGCAAAGACAGTGAAGAAACAGAACAGAAAAGCAGCTTGAAAGACCAATATTTACCCCCTTCTCTGTTCTGCCAGTAAGCCCGCTTTGACTTTTCCTTGGTTCTCTCTTTTTGTTTCGGCTATGAGTACTGACTGGCTGCAGCTGAGAGCCAATAGCTGTGGTAGGGAATAAACTGGAGCCTCATCTGCGACTGGAACATCTCCAAAAGGAGCCTTATAAGAACTGGTGGAGTCACCAATGGAATTATGGGGGCATATTTGGGAAGTTAATGGTGACCAGGCTTGTGTGAGAGGCAGACTAAGGTTGAGAGCTGTGGGTAAGCTCTGGTGAATGGCCTCTCCCTGGCTAGGAGTCAGGGTGTGTGATTTCAGTATAGTTAATTAGGAGAGGATGGGGTGTTCTTGTCTTTATTATTGAACCCATTTCAATTTTATTCCCCTAATCTGCCAGTTTGGCCTTTACTTTATGTAGCCAGCCTGATTTGCAGCAACCACCTCTTTGAATCAATACCGTCTGCATGATAGCAGAGCACGGTTGCACTGTTTAAGGTTGAGTATTTGTAAGATGGGATGTGTTTGTGCCAGAGAAGGAGGATGCTGGGAGACAGAATGGGAGGATGGAATGAGGATCTCTGAGTGGCAGAAGACCTAGAAGATTGTGTGGAACCTTTTCAGATCCCTGTTCCATACTGCTGGTTCCTGGTGGCCTGGCTATAGGACTCTCCATCATGGTTGCAGTGCTGGTAAATACCAGGTTGCTGTCCAGTTAGGCTTAGTTCGTCTATGAACTGCTTATGGACAAGAGAGCCAACTTGGCATATGTCATTGAGCTGGGGGGTGTAGATCTGCCCCGGCTTTGCCTACCTGGGTACTCAGTACAGCGGCAGGCCAGGCTAAAAGGCTGGAAAGGAATGGAGAGGAGTCATCCTGCTCACCAGGAGACTGCCCTGTGATGGTGGAAAGAGACAGCTTGGGAATGTTACTGGTGTACACCCACCCTTCTAGCCAATGGCCTTCCCTATGGAGCTGGCTGAGGTAGCCTCATACGTTGCTTTGGGAAACCCAAGAACCTTGATATTGGATTACTGAGCAAAACTCTTTTCTGTATTCATTGCAACAGTTGCCATCTTGCAAGAAGATAAAGAAAGAACTACTGTGAACTTTTACTTACTGTTTGCCATTTGGCTTTTGATCGCTCTGCTTCGAATTTCGCAACTTCTTTCCGGTCATGAAATGAAATGAACAATTTCCACATGCAAATCAAGAAAACCCCAGTGACGATGATCGCAATAGAAACACCCATCACAATCATTGTAACATTCGGAGGTTGTGGGCAGTCTGTAGAAAGCAAAAAACACCCGTAAAAGTAGGTTCTGTTGATGTTTGAAAGAAGCTGTAGGATGTTCATGTCTGTATGTGTTTCTTGTAAATGTAAGCACCCGAATCCCCATGTGTCCACCTAGAGCTGCTATGCACAATGGCTGCCTTATTCTCTTCAGTGGTGATGGAAAATTTGTATGCATAAAGGAATGCAAATACATAACTATGGTCCATATTGAAATAAATAGGCCAGCTTTGGTGGTAGTGGCGGGCATCTATAGTGAATCACTAGAATCCAATGGCAGCATTGGAAAATTAATTCAGAATCATCTACTGGGTTTGTAATCCTTCCACTCCTCTTTTCTGTATTGCTTTCTATGAACGTCCACAAGGAGTAAATGCTTTCCTAACTCATGGTAGGTTTGCCTTTGAAATGCTTTGGTCTTAGAACTAAAAGCAGAAGGAAGTCTGCAGAAGACCACTTTCCTGGTATGTCCTTTGCAGCATTTGGTCGCCTTGAAAATCTCCTCCACAACAGCGTGGCTTGGGGGTGGGGGGGAAAGGAGAATCACCCCGAATTGGAGGTGCTGCTGCTTGCACACAGTGGTCCCACTCAATTATGGCAAATTCCAGCTTCCCACCACACCCATGTCATTTGTTAACCCTCTGGAGATGATTTTCAGGGGTTGCAAAGGACTGCGGGGGCAAGGAGGGGATGGAAATGCTTCCTTCTGTAAGGGTTACTCCTGGCTGGAGCTCCAGGTTTTGGAGGGCCTCTGGGCAGCCTCGATGGGCCTGTTCCCTCAGTGAATCTACCTTCTCACCACCATGGCCACCGATAGCTCTTGCCCCTGATGCTCTTCTCCATCAGTGGTACCACTTCCTTTCTTGACAGGCAGAGGCCCTGTGAGTAAGAGGACATGGGCAACTCTTCCTCCTCCTCCTCCTCCTCCTCCTCCTCCTCCTCCTTGTCATTGCCCTTGTCTGAGTCAGAGCAAGAGGTAGGTGAACCAGGCAGGAGCTGCTGAGGTGCAGGTCCTTGCAGGCGGCCACCCACGCCAGCCTTGGCACACGCCCTGGTCCTTCTACTGCTCTGGTTTTAAGCCTGTGTCTCCAAGCAGCCTTCTTGAAAAAGGCACACACAACAGCAGTGTATTTCAGCAATTTTCCAAGCTTGTGCCCTACCTTTTTGCTTTATGCTGTGAAGGGTTGTTTTTCCCTGTTCATCAGTTGCCATGAGATATGTGATTACGCATTCATTTTCCCCTCGTAACAAACAAGGAACAAATTTATCTTCCATGATATCTGTGAAGGAGGGGGAAACCCATTTTTCAAGTCAAGACCAATTCATCAAGCAGTTTCTATGAGGATTGAAGGATTTATAATGTCAGGCCATTTTCAACAGGCACTAAAGGAGGAAGGAAGGAAGCTAAAATTTCTAAAAGATTTTAACACAATACTTCTACCACTAAAAGGTTTTCATCCGTGTCGTTTTTGTTATACTTTGTGCTTAGGTTTCAGATGAGAAGGTCCAGGTGTTGTCAATCTACATTGACCATCAAGAGCACCCATCAAGTCTGCTGTAATTTGAAATTCAGTGAATTGGAAATAATGTCCAAGAGAGTTTCCATAGCTATCTAAGGGAATATAATAGCCCTGATTATAGGACAAAGTAAACAATATGTTCTCCTTGTCTTTTTGCTACTGGTATTATGCCTAGACTGAGTTTCAATGTTAGCATATTCCCATATCAAAAGGATACTGATCCTTTTCAAAGAGGGATGGCATTTATTGCTTCCAGAATGCTGTTATAAAAATTAGCGTGACATGCATTGTCAGAATAATTAAATGGAAATCATAACCAAGAAATGAAAGCTGTTGCATAATTTTAAGGCTTTTCAGTGAAATGCAGATAAAAAAGAACCCTAAGGTGAACCTAAGATCTTAGTTCTGCGAACAGTGTTTCCACTTTAATTTTCTCAGATGCGAAAAACCTTTGATGTTCTTTCAAGAGGCCCTAGAAGGGGTGCCGTATGTGTGAGGGAAATGTGACAGACTACAAACAGAAAGAAGAATGGAATCTGAAACTGCAGGCTCTAATGCCAACAAAACCAAAGCATAATGACTTGTCTACAATTGATAAACTGCTTTTAAAAGTAGTAATAGTAGCTCTTACTGAAGCACTTCTGGAATCTAGAGCCACCCTAGAAAAAGTACCTCACTAGGGTAATTCCAAGTCAAGTGTTTATGAATTGTACTATTATACAAATACCTCGCCTTCAAGAATTATTATCTATCTATTATTAGGTTAGTGCTCCCATTTGCAGTACTGTATATTTTGACCCGACAAGATTTCACCAAAGTTATTCATACTATAATTTCTCAAAGTTTAAATGAAACTGCACCACTGCATTTTTGGAGGGGTTGGTAGACGGGTTCTTGAAAATGACATTTCTTTGGGAAAAGGGCTAAGCCAGATTTACACGCTCATTGAAAGACACACGTGTTACTCAACAACTCCCCTTATATATACTTATTTGCTAGTAATTCCCATTTCACTTTAAGGAATTCACTTCTATGTAAAGAAGGTACATATAATGAAGCTGCATATTTTGAATGTGGAGCACAGAATGGAGGGAGGGACGGAGGGAAGATCCTGTAACAGGGTGTAATTATAATTATGGGCTCTGTCCTATCTACCCATGACTAGAATGCAGCCCCTGAGACCGTTTTTGTAGTTGAACAGCCTTTGGGCAGAAAAAGTATGACTTGGGGCTGCCCTCATTCATTCCTGCAGAAATCTCTGGGAAAAGAGAGGAGGTGCCTTTGCCCACATGTTCTCTTCTCCCTCTGTATCCACATCCTCACATGTTCTTTGTATTAATGAAATAGAAACTAAGTTAATTGCATCAGCCTATAAAAATATTAGATTTTAAAATAAGTATGCAAAGGAAATCCCCTACATGTGGATATCCTCACATACAAGGATCGTTTTACAATTGGGATGGTTGCTTTTCAGCCATGTGTTCTCAAGCTCACGTCACTTTTTATTTATGATTTTTCTTGTTGTTGGAACAGAATGTAAGCATCCCTGGATTGTTTTCATTTGTGGAGCCTTTGATATGCTCTTAGCAATTTGGAGAAACCAACTTCAAGATGTAAATGAACTGAAAATACCTAATTTGGGTGTTTGACCTAATTATTATATCTGTCTGATCTAGAAATGAGGTCATGTCTGTGGAGTGTTGATAGCAACCTTGATGGTTGTGCTTGATTTAAAGAACTATAGTTATGTCTGGAATTCATCTCTGTTTCCATTGGGAATCGAGTTGTTAACAAATGGCTTTGTATAGCAGATAAAAAGGAAAACCCCTCTTTCCATTTAGAGAAGGTGCGTTTCTTGGTCAGCCATTTAAAGCCCCTTTTCTCTGTGGTAGCACTTACAGACTTCAATAGGATTACTACATAAGCTTCTGGAGGGAAGAACTTCATCTATAGAACATGAAATGCTTTGGGAGTTATTACAGATTACTTCTCAATGGGTGGTAATGGAGAGATGTCTGATCTGGAAGGCTCCTATTGAACGTTTCTCGATATAGACAGTGATTACTAGCACAATGCAAATAGACAGCAGCAGCTTCTAAGAGGACAGCAAAGAGCAACCTCAATGAAGCTAATCTTTAGCAGAACTTGTGCGAGGATTTCCCCCAAGCCCTGCTCCAGGAAGTGCAGTGCTTTGTTACATTAAAGGGAAAGGGATTTGTAGTTTGGGCACTATAACTGGAAGAGCCTGGAGTCCAAGAGAAATTAAGGAAGGCCGTGCGTGTGGAAGAGGATGGTGTGTCCAGGCCCCAAGATCTTTCCAGGCCCCTCTCTGTGTAACCCTCTAAGGTGTTCCCAGGGACTGCCTGGAATTAGGAAGAGGGGCTGTCCAGTGGAATCCTTTCTGCACCGTGGATGCTCTCCCCACAGTGGCACATGGGGCACCACCATTGTGGCACCCAAACTATAATCTTTTTGGCACCAGATGGATTTATTCTTCCAGGCTTTTTAGTCCTTTGTTAAAAAAATAGGAAAGAAAATCAACCCTGTATTGCATGCTGTTGACCTCTGCTGTTGGTTTTACTTTGATTTTACTTTGTGGCTATTTTAATTTGTTTTAGATTTTACATTATCCAGTATTGTTATGCTCTTGCATTTTACAGTTCTTACCTCTATTTTCTGTGTTATTATGTGCTACTTTAATTCTTTAAGGTTCGCATTTAATGTTTCTAATGTATTGTGCACTGACCAGGAAACTTTGGTTTTAGGGCAGTTTTAAAGTACAATAAAGAAGTAAAGAAGGATGTAATCCTATGCCTGTTTAGGCAGAAAAAAAATCCTAAATTCTTCGCATGGGACTTTTTCTGTCTAAACTAGCAAATGATTGCAGTCTAAGAAAATAAATAATTTGTGGACCAACCAGATGGTTTGAGGTATTGGACAGAACAGAAATATGGTTAATAAATAAATATCATGATGACAAGAGGAATGAAAACTTGTTTTTCTTCCTCTTCTTCTCTCCTTTCTCATTCATATGACTTTGTATTCAGCAAAGCATTGTTTGATCTTTTGCTCCTGTAAAAATCATTTTATGTTTAACATTTGGGGAAAAAAACCTCTTAAGATGGATGTGAGGCTGTGACAGCATCAAGATGTGCCTATATTCTGACGTTTATTATTTTTAAAGAAAGCCCTGAAACATTCATCTCCTCATCCTTTATGTCGGATCGGGTTACTGTCCAATGAGATAAATGGTTGAGGAATTGTGCTTCACTCACTATGGCTGCCATCCTATAACTGCTTGGAAGTAAGGTAAATGGTACCTGAGGTAAATGGCATCTAAATTTAAATAGATTGTCTGATAAAGGAGTTAGCTAGAACACCACTTGCATGACCAATGTATTTAATGTGCAAACAATTACATTTCTGTTACCTATTTATAAGATTTATGAGATGATTAATCCAGACCAAAATTAGCACTCGAAGCAGGACACACTAGAACAACAGTGCAGTGCTATGCATGTTTACTCAGAAATAAGCACAGCTGAGTAAATCACAGGGTGCTTTCCACCTCATTAAGTGTTATATCTAGTTTATATCTCGTTAATACTGCAGCCTAAAACCCAATTAGATTCAGTTAAAAACATAAAGCTCAATAAAACAGCTTCCCTCAACCAAGGTATTTCCAGATGTGGTACCTACAATTCCTGTCATCCTCAAGCATACTTGGTAGAGTTGATGGGAGTTGTACTCAACACATCTAGAAAGCACCAGGTTGGGTGGGCAGGATAAGACAAAGAGTGACAGCATGTAATCAACCCTACTGCCACAACTAATAATGCTACAATAATGAATTAAACAAGGAAATGTACAGACCTTCTTCAGTGCTGACAGTTGCATCAACCAGTTTACAGGTTTCCACACAGTCTTCTGGTGACTGTTCATTAGACGCTAAATAACATTCTGCACAGCTCCTGAGAAAAATGATTCACAACACCTCAACCACTATTGTTAACAAGGTATCAGGAAGAAAAAGAAAAATATCCAGTCTTCAACTGAGAAAGTATCTTAGAAAAAATGTCTGTAAGGAGGGTTCTATTAGAAGTTCCCAGTAATTTTATATTTATTGTATTTAAAAAATAGAATAAATGTCTCATAGATAAAGTACTCAATCATCTGTCTTTCCCTTCAAGCTTTCATTAGATAGAAAAAAAACAGGACATTATTCTTGCATGTGGTTCTACATATGTGGCACCAGTTAACACACAAGCACATGCATGATTATGCCATTATGATTCTGCATTATTACCATATTTATACAGCCTGTTATAGAACAGAAGATTGTTTTAGACTAGGCCTCCCGAAGGGTGCGATCCTATGCATGTTTAGACAGAAAAAAAGTCTTACAACTGTTCCAGCATATAATTTTTTAAAAATCTATTTATTTTAAAATATTTTATATTGCCTATGTAAATCAGATCCAGACCATGTACAATATTAAAATGTAACCAGTGACTTTCAGAAAAAAGCAGGATATTTTTTATATATAGTTATAGGTTGAAGCTATAATCTAGTGCCCAGTTATGCTAACTTAAGCCCAATTAAAACAAAGGGGTTCAGGTACACCTGACTTTGTATTGGGAGACGGCCTATGACTTTAGCCTATATTCAGCATTGAAACTGGCCAGATGCAAAAGAAGCCTGGGATTCACTGTGAATAATTGTCTATAAGTGCAGATTCCTTCTTCTACAACAAGGATAGACTTCAGACCTGTAGGATATGTTAGGATAGATGCTTTAACAATAAAACCATGAGATTCAGTTAGAGCTGGAGGGAGACACCTGCAGAGGCTCTGTGGATGGATATACATGGAGATTTAAGGGAATGGATGTCTCTGCGCATGTGCCCAGCCCAGAAACCGATGATTAATACAGAAAAAAAAAAAATCCAGCTTTGGTTTTCCCTCAGTCATTCTTTTTCAGGGATCTACATCAGGAGAAAAAAAATTGTTTGGTTGTTTCCATTGTTAGATCAGCAAATGCAAGGTATAAAAATCACCCACAAATCAAGCAGAGAGCTATTAGTACAGATCTCTGCAGCCTGGCACCCTTCAGATGTTTTGGATCCAGCTCTCATCTGTCCTAGTTTACAAGGCCAGTCATTTAGATGCTAGCCACCTGCAGTCCAAAACATCTGAAAGGCACCAGGCCAGAGAAGGCTCAGGAGTAGGTTCTAATGTACCTTCTGCCCACCCTGACTCTACTCAACTATTAAGGCAGAGGAGTCCTGTCCTCTTTTACCTCTGGCTGTCGTACTGGATACCTACAAGTTGTTGCCCTGAAGGAAAACTTTTTCAGTTTTTAATGGAAAAATAAACCTTGTTTGGTTTCTGAATGAAAATTGCCAGGATAATACTCATCTATCTTAAGAAATAGACATCTATGTATTAATTAAAATAAAATGGGTTTGTTGATTAAGGGAGTGATTCCAGGGGTTCTGTTCATCATCTTGTAAGGGCGATAGGGTACTTTGGATTCCCAGAGCCAAGGTCAGGGGCAGAGCTCTGACTTTGGCGCAGGAAGCTAGGAAGCTGTGCATTGGTCCTTGCTCCCTGTCTCCCAGCTAGCGCAAAAAGAATCATGCCAGCATCTCTGAGGTTGGAAAATAGACCTCATAGAGGGTGAAAGGGGGCATTCTTGGGGGTAGGGAGGGGAGGAGACTTCCCAAGCCAGGATGCAACATGTCCTGTGTCCTTTGCAGCCTCTTTCCCTTCCCTTCAGATATGCCCCATTAGATGGTCAAAACTGACCATCTGGGTAAGATGCAGGGTGAGAGGAGTGGGCTGGGAGCAATAGTTCACCTTCACCTGCTCGGCATGGGATGCTTGTAAGCCTCCGAATTTGTGAGCACTGTGGATACAACTCATAGCAGTGCTGTCTATGTGATTTGAAGTAACTTAAATTAATTCACTTGTACAGTTGCTAAAATCTTTAAGCACTAATAATAATGACGATAATACTCTGAATCAATCCCGCACAAGTTAGTCAAAAGGTTACTGAATAATTCATCTGGGACTAGATCCAGGTTTGAACTTCCTGGCTGAGGAAAATAATTAATGACATTAAGGAAAAGTTAATTCCATGCAACATAGTAGGAAAAAAATGGCAGACAGTAACATTAAGTAGAGTTCAAGGAGTGCAGCTTGACCTATGAGCAATTCTGCCAGCAACTGTATATTTCATTTGGGGCACAAGGAACTGCCTCATCTGGAAAGCATCACGAACTGTGAAATGGCCTTGATGTTGCAAGCCAGACAATAGCATTGCAGCAGTAGTGCCTGGTTTTAAGCAACGGAGAGGGCAATCCCTTGCTCCCTGCAAACTATTTCCAGGGTCAGAGGATTCTTGCCAAGGCTGTGATGTAGAACACTATAACCTCGAAAAGGGGACTTCAGTATCCCGTCTCCTGCATCCTCTTCCACCTTGCAGTAGCCACAGAAACAACTGCACTTGGATGCAAAAATGACCACTGCTTCCAAGGTCATAAAAATGGCTTCCGACAGCTCAGAAAGGGAGTGTGCTTGTTTGTGGGGAAGTGAGAGAGGAGAGCAGAATCTTATGGCTTGGCCAGCCCCAGTCCTGCTACTACCAAGAAACCATCCCCGGAAAGACTCAGAGGCATATCTAGAGAAAAAAGTAGGACACAGATGAAGAAAAGGTACAAATTGTCTCTGTTGCCCTGTGAGTTTGCAGCTTCTACCTCATAAAAGCCCAACCCATAGACTGTGTCCTTTTTGGATGTGCAAAACCATGAATTTGATTTATTTGTTTGCTGTCTGTTGTATGTACAACTGCCTTTTCTTCTGGACAGTTATCAGTTCTTTCGTCCAGAGCTGAAACAGCTGCAAATATATTTGGCAAATGAAGCAACATTTGACTTTAAAATGTTTTGACAAAAAGTGAGCCACTGGTATCCCTATTTTATAGTGAGGAAAACATAATGAGAGGTAACACAGCCAAGTGCCAAAGTGGTGCAGTGGTTAGAGCATTGGACTCAGTCCCTGCTTGGCCCTGGGTGGCTTTGAGCCGGTCAACAAAGTACACCTCACCTCAGCAAGGAGTGGCCAGGTGTCCAGTGTGCTTGCTCAAACTGCTCTCCATGTGTTAACCTTTGATGCACAACCTTAAGGCTCTCTTTACCTTGCCTTTATGCCAACCTAGATTGGTATGAAGTAAAGGATTCTCTTCTGACAGCCCTTCAACTAGAGGACTATCCCCTCAGGTAGGACACTTGTCCACACTAAGGCAGAGACTTGTTGCTGCTGCTGCTGCAGCTGATTTCTCGGCATCTTCTAGCTCAGCTTAAAGTCTTTGAGATGTACTGCAAACCACCGAGAGATTTACCAGTCAGCCCTAATCGATGTTCCACTTGCCCCTGCTTTTGGGTATCAACTCATTCTCAGCCTCAGCACGCCGTCTGTGATATGAGGTAATAACACTGACCAACCTGACAGGACTTCCTAAGATCCAATTAGCTTCTCAGGGGTGTAGCAGCCTCATCGATTCCCCACCTCTGCAGAGGGGAACAGCCTCTGTTAACCTCAACCTCACCAGGAAGTGCTCAGATAAAGAAGTGGTACAGGATGTACAGCGATGATTTAAGTAGCAAATGGAAGGAACAAGCATGTATTAGGATTTAACTGCATCAGAAATACATAAAACCCAGCAGGTACAGTAAACAACATTCAGCACCTCTGAAATATGACCGTGTTTTTAGACGTGTGTCAGACACAGACATTGATGAGCATACAAAAGAACAACAACTCACCGTTTAGAACTGCACGGGTCGTTATAGGTAGGGTATTTTTCACAAGTGCTACCGGAAACCCCAGGATCTGTGCACACGCATTTGCCACAAACGCATTCTCCTCTCCCGCTGCAGATGGTGCCATCTCCCGAAATGCAGCTCTCTGTCTCAGTGCTGCAGCTACAATATTCGCCAGTCCAGCCGGCGTGGCAGATACAGTGGCTGCAGTCACAGTCTCCATTGCCTGAGGAAGATGATAGAACACAGTTGCTCCTTGGATTGCCATCTGATACCATCCCAAGATTCAGGAGTCTAAAACTTCCACTCATCCTCAAACTCATCTATCATTACCTTTCCATCCTAAGCCCTAGAATGCCTCAGTGCTGAAATATGAAATTTTATTCATTTATTCAAGAAGTTATAGTATTTCTAGAAATCCAGACAGGTAGTCAATCACTGTTCTTTTTAGGACCAGCTAAAATCACAAAGCAATGAACAGGTTTTGTGGACTCCCAGAACTCCCAGAATGGATATTATTTTTTGAAAAGAAATGTTTCTGGGAAAGATGAGGAAAATTTGATATTATGGATAGACATCCTTCTGAGTGTCTATCAGCCTCAAAATGGTGGAAAGATTAGAATGAAATAGTTTCTTCCTGCTCCCCATCCACCTCCCCTTTACATTACAATTTTATGCAGACTTAGAATGCAATCCTATGAATATTCCAACAGAAAAAGTCCCGCAACTCCCAGAATTCCCCAGTCAGCATGTGGACTTTTTTCCGTCCAAGCACATAGACGACTGCACTCTTAATTACATTTTAAATGGCATCTCTTGCGTATCATTCTCTGATCTACCATTCCCACTTTATTTTTCCATCACTGTTTTTTTAACGAAATTACCGGTCAAGGTGGACTTACCTCCACACAACAGTCCTTTAAACCTGACACAGGAGAAATCGTCACATTCACAGTTGGGCCCATAAATATTCCCATACGCTGACAGGTGGCAAACGCACTGCCCACAGTAGCAGTCCCCTCTCCCACTGCAAGAGGCTGATTCTGGGTGAGCCTTGCAGGAATCCGCACTCAGCGAGTCTTTTTCGCTGCATTCACAGTGAGGGCCCAAGTAGCCAGGGCTGCAAGTGCACACGCCACACTCGAAGGAGCCGTTGCCGTTGTTGCACCTGGAGCTGTTCGCCTCTGCGTCCTTCTGGCAATTGCAGCTACATTTGGGCTGGACATCAATTTCCAGAGCTTCATTCAAGCCCACGGGCTTAATGAGGACCCTCCTTCCACCCTTGTCACAAGTAGAAAGGCTTAAAGTCACATTGAAAGTGACCTAGGGAGGGGAAGAAGATAGCATTTATCGCTTCAGTGTATAAAATGCAAAATTATGACTTAATTTTAAAAATACAGAATGAACGGCATCTTCCTGATTCATGTTGCATATACTTAGTTTAAAGGACTAGCCTATATTAAACAGAGATGTTTCATTCACGACAGAGTGAGATTCCGTGTCCATCGGGCTGTGGTTTCATGTCTCTACCATTTTGTTTAGCATACTTTTTGGTAATAGGCTGATATATTTTGTATGCATGCGGTTGTATATCCTGTGATCATTACCTTTCTGTGCAAATAGGCTTTCTTTTTTTCTGGCTGGACTACTGTTAGCTGAAAAACAGATTTGACATGGAAAAGTCCTATCCAATATGTGTTAGATCTATACAGTTCAGGAGAAGATTTAAAGCATGCTTGGGAGGGAGATGGCAATCCTTCTCCTGCCTGGGCTTTCCCCTTGGCACTGCTGTTTTGTTCTGTTTTGATATTTTTCTTTGGGTGAGGATAAACTTGTCTTGCTGAAGGAAAAATAGCATAAGGCGTGATTTGGAACTGAAGAGCACAGAGAGGGAAAGAGTGTCTCCCACCCTGCTCCCTGGCCATTCAGCATCTTTTGGTCCTGTACCCCACTCCTGACCTATGGGATACTTTGAGGCAAGACTTTTATGTTGCCATATATGGGGAAAGGGGGTGTCCAGAAGAGTTTGAACTTCCTTGCATAAGGCTGTTAGAAGGCTACTCTTGGTTTCATCGCAAACTGAGAACTGAGTTTGAGACGAGGAGAGTTTTCTGTTCTGCTTTTCCACTTCACTGTGGTATAGCAGAAGAGCACAGATGCACAAAAGGAAATCATGCTTTCTTTCACTTTCATTTTTCCTCTGCTAAAACATAGAAACAAAGCAAGTCAGAAGGGGCCTTCTGGGCCATCTAGTCTGACCCCTGGCTCCAGCCTGCTCCGCTCAGCTGTGCAAACAATATTGGTCCATGGCCCTGAAGCTCAAAGAGGTCCTTCTCCTGATCCAAGACACTTTGTAGCCCTGGGCAGTGCCCAAAAGGTGCCTCCTCACGACTTTGGGGCAATGCTTTAAAAAGTCTTGCTGCATAACTCAGACTCAATCTGCCCCTCAAAGTGCTGCCTCATGTCGGTACTTAGACCTGTCTTGCCTGCTGAGCAAGGCTAGGCTGGTTTCATCTTTGTTGTTTTTCACCAGCAGAAAAAAGTTTTGTTTTTTTTTAAATGCAGGCCTTTAGCATGTTAAGCCATTACTGTGGTACCTTTTACATGTGTTGTTAATGTATTTACTTTATTAGGGTTTTAACCAAGTTTTATTTTGAATGTTCCTACCATTGTTCGCCTCCTCGCGTGCCATTTTTTTTAGGTGAAAAGGCATTCTAGCAATCAAATACATATGAATAATAATCGATGGACCATGATTGAGCACTTGCATCATATTGTGGGAATGAAGAACTGATCAGCTGAGCAATGTATGTTTGTTTGAGTGTGTGTGTGTGTGCACATGTGTGAGTGAGCAGGTGATTTGTGAGTGACAGAGAGTCACTCTATATTTGTGAGTGACAGAGAGTCACTCTATATTTGTGAGTGACAGAGAGTCTGAATCAGTGCAGAGAGAATTTTTAGTGGTTATGTATGCATACATGCGTGTGCTTGTGGGGGTGAGGGGGACACCGGCCACAGTGTACCTGCACGCAACCCTCTTGGAACTGCAGCCTTAAACAGGGCAAAGTACCTCAAACTACTCACTGCTCATTATTCCCGCAGCTCCTCTTCAGCTACCTATGCAGCTTTGTAGGTTATAGATTCATAGGATCAGGCTGCATTAGTTTCACAACAAGAGATAGCATTCATGAATTCATAATCTACTTACAGTTTCTCCCACTTTAATGTGAGAGCATTTCTTCTGGTGTGGAAGGACGGTCCTGTTGTTGCAGATGGCAGTGAAAGCCAGGTTCAGTCCATCTGTGTCTCCAAACACCTCTAGCTCGATTTCAGACCGGAGTGCCTTGAATACAAAATTGGTAGCATAAGAACATAAGAGGAACCCTGCTGGATCGGCGAGAGGGTCTGTCCAGTCCAGCACTCTGATCACCCAGGAGCTGCCTGGAGGAGCCCCGCAGGCAGGGCATGAGTACCAAAGCCCCATCCCATCTCTGTGCTCCTCCAGCTGATGAACAACGTTCTTGCCACAATGTCCTTGGGTGACCAGCACCCTGCAGTTGTGAACTTACCCAGAGATGTGCTTGGGAGGCCTTCCCCTGAGTGCCCCAGGTGTGGTGGGCAGCTGTGGGCACAGCGCTTTTTCAGTGGTGGTGCCCTGGCAGTGGAACATTCGCCCCAGAGAAGGTGCTGGGCACCTACTTCGATTGCCCTTCAACACCAAGCAGCGACCTTTTACATTTCCCAGGCCTTTTACATTTGTCAGCTTTAAGGAGTTTTTACACTTTGTAGCTTTTGATATATACCATATTATACTTTCGTTGTTTTTATTGAATTTATTTCTTGTTGCCAGCTGCCCTGAGAACTTTGCAATAGGGCAAACTATAACACGACCAAATAAGACTGGAGAATTGACAAAACCTGAGAGACTATGACTTCATCTAAACTCATTCACCAGATGTAGCAAGCAAAGAAGCCCAGTTCTACTGAAGATATGATGGCATTATCATTTCCATTTATTTCCCGTGTAAAACTTTAAGCATTGATCAAATTCTAAGCAAGTATAGTTGCTTATATATTTCTGATTATACATAAATACACAGACATTAACACCCACTCTCAAATATTCCTTTTATATGTATATAAATTGTATGGTTATTTTCTGATTAGACAGAGCTCCTACTTAAGCTGTTTTACTGCAGATGTTCCTTAAGACTAAGTAGTATAATTAGTGAATTCCCTTGTTTCCATAGAGATCACAATTTATTACAAGACATGATGTTCTTGGTTATTGTTGCCTTTATTGAGTTAACTTCATTTTGAAATAAAATACATCTTAATGACAAAAGAGCTACCCTCTTAACTATTTATTCTGTAATAGAATGTGAAGATTGGAGAAGAACACAGCTTTTATTTTATATATTTTGGGGTCTTTAGAATTGCGATAGTGGCTTGCTTTGAAGCAACACTTCACTATGAGGCTCTTTATTCTTCTGCATTGTCACAGTTTAGTTCTGAAATACACAAAGGAATAACAAAGAAGCTGACAGTGAGCTCAGAATTATAGATGTAGGAATTTTGTGAAATCCATTCTGTCTGTATTTCATGGATTGTCAGGCATCTTTGCTCCATTGATGGAGGTTTTTCAAGGGATGTATGAGAATTCCGCTTAAAATGTGCATTTGGGCTAAAGTACATTAGTGCAAGTGTGAAATTCTGCCAAGTTATTTTGAGGAAGGCTTGAGGTCAGCATTGGAATTTTTCCTTTGAGAAAGGGCCTTCTTGGTGCTTGCACCCCACCTCTGGAATGGGCTTCCCAGCGAGGTGCACCTGGTGCCATCATTGCTATCATTTTGGCACCAGGTCATTTGGCATCTTTTCTCTGGCTATTTTAATAGCTGATTTTTGTGGAAATTTTGATTTGAACCTGCCCCTATTCTTGGCTTACAGTTTAATTTTAATTTTGAATCATTTATTTAAAAGTGTATATGTAAGGATTTTAATTTGTGGAATATGTTTCTTTATGTTTTTGGACATTTTGTTAATGTTCTAGTATTACAGATTTTTAAAATGTTATGTCTTTTCATTGCTTGTAAGCCACCCAGAGAACCCAAGCATGGGATAATGTAGTGGCACCGACATTCAATAATAAATAACTAAATAATAAACACTGGCAGTAATATACTTTTTCAGTATCTGAAATATAGGTGCTATTAAGTGCATGGTGATCTCATAATTTTTTGTTTTGCCTTTGTCTTTATAAAAGGATTGGAGCAGGAGTTTTCTTCCATTGGTGGAAGTCTTTATTCATGAAAGGTACTTTTGATCAGTTTTGGAGGATCCTTCAATGTCTCCCAGCTCGCTCTATTCAGCAAGGTCACCCAGCTCTTTATTTTCTGGGGGTTGAAGGTGTTCCCATGGAAAGGAAAGGGTTGGGGAAGTCCAGCTTTGCCAGTCCAGTTTTATATGCTGAATCCAACACCATGATTTCCTTTTTGCCTTTGACATACTGCTAAAGCTTGTGATGGCAAAGTTGCCGATAACTTCATTGGCCTTAGGGTGAGGAAAGCTGGAGCACACCACATTAAATGTAGACTGCGTTTAAATTAGTGGTTCTTGATTGACTCTAGCGGACTGACTTTCCCTCATGTGCTAGGGCTAATTTGGTTTCCTAGGTATTTGCATCGTGAAGCTTACAATATTTCTGTGCAAATATTAGAGTCAAATGGTTTCTTGATGAAGCCATGTGCAAAGCCATGTGTTTTAACATGTCAACTGGTGAAGGGCCTTAAGTGTTTTCGAAGAGATCTCATTTTGCCCTTATGAAATAAATAACTCTGCATTCTAGTAGCCTTGCTTTCACATAGACTTAGACCAAAATGAGCGCTTTGAAGACAGAAAACATTCGTTTAGAGTTTTTACAGTTTTTACCCTCTTGAGGCACGCACTGACAAGCTTTCTGAAGACTGTGACTCATGTTGTGAGGGAATATGAGAACATTTTATCTCATACACTTACTCAGAAGAATTCAAAAATCAACACAGTGTTGACTGCTGCCCACGGCTCTTTTTAGGAATGACCGTGGAGCACCAGTTATGTGAGGGAAAGGAAATGTGAGTGAAAAGATGTGAGGGAAAAAAAAAGTGCCACAACAGTAACTCAGACATGAAAGCAGCTGCACTGTAGGCTCTGTTGCGGCTATTCACCCTAAGAGACAATGCGAAGAAAACGGCATTGTTCAACCAAAGGTTCTGGAAAGGTAACACTGTTTCTATGTTTTGGTTTGTCTTCTGATCTTTTCCTGGAATGATCCAAACAAACACTATCAAAAGCCTCATTTCATGCCATCATTATTTTTACTAAGGATATGTGCAGCACAGTTGTCTGTATGTTTATGCAGAAGTACCCACCATTCTGTTTATCTACTGTTGGGTAATTGTGCTTGCAGATCTCACACTGTCTAAGGCTGCAACCTATACACTCTTGCTTGGGAATAACTCCAGTTGAACTCAGTTGGGCATTTTTCTATTACTTCTCCTCCATTCTGGAACTTTTCTCTGCTTGGTTTCTCTGCTAGACATCTGTGCACAACAAAAGTTTCATATGCAAACGAATATCACAAAGCTCACACAGGCATTCACAACACTCTTATCCTTAGTCTTATTAGGTACCTTATATGCATCAATAATCAGCTGAAGGACATTTCCAGAGTCCTTATAGAGTTGCCCAACAGTAGCTCCAGGTATAAGGTCAGCATATTTCTGAAAACGGAATTATTATAAAAAAAAATCAGGTAATATATGCTAGGAACACATGTTTACTCTTTCTAAATAAACATGCATAGGATTGTTCTGTAAAGCTGCCTTCCCCAAAATAGTGCCTTGCATGTGTGTTGGACTACAAATCCCATTAACTCCATGATAGGAGTTGTAGTTCAAAGCTTCCAGAGGACACTAGATTAGAGAAGCATCTCGTTGCACCTTGGTCGATCTAATCCAAATAAACATCCTCTCATCCTGGTGCTTTCTGGCTCTCCATGAACAGAGAACAAGGTGCGAAGAACTGTAGCAATGTCACCGGGGGCTAAAATTAAAATGTCAATTAACACAAAACAAAGACGGCAACTTCTAAAGGCAACTAAGTAACATGTCAGAAAGAAAAAGAAAAATGATCAGCCTACAGAGAGGAGAAGGAAAGGAAGTGCACACTTGAAACCATGCCACTCAGGCAAACAATGGTCGTGACAGCAAAGCACGATAAATAGGTAAGGGAGACGGGGATTAGTAGCTCTTATAACTAGTGCCTTTTCTTCTTGACTGAAGGACTCTGAAGCTCCACGGCTGAATGGTGTGCATAAACGCGCAGAGCTGTTTTGCAGAGCTCTGCTGACCATGAGAGCCTGGAGAGCCATGCTTTCAACTCCAGTAGCACAAATGCAAACACAGACCTGATTACCGGTATATTCAGATGGCGCCCAGCTGCATAAGGGAAAGTTGCATGGCGTTGCCTTTGAAGAGGCTCCAGACATTTCAGCTGGTTAAGAACATAGCTGCAAAATTGCTAACTGGCGCTGGGAGCCATGCGCAGAGCACACCAAGGCTTAGCCACCTTCACCGACTCCCAGCGTGTTTCCAGCCTCAGTACAAAGAGCTACTGTCGGCCCTAAGGTCTGTCATGTCTTGAGACCAGTGTACCTAAAGCATCACGAGTCTCCGTAAGCGTAGCCCTACAGTCATCTCATCGGAGGGCTTTCTTTGGGTGTAATACTACCCCATGCTTGTCTCATGCCTACTCTGATATTTTGGCATCCAACGAACTCCAGCCCACCCCCAGGTCTTTTAATCTGTACCTGCCCTAAATTCATTGTCTCTCTGCTATATTTGCATGCTCTCTTGTATACTTTACAGCTTGACTGTAGATATTTTTATTTGCTCATTTTACACATTTTACAATTATATTTAGAATTTGCTTCATTTCCCATAGCTCTGTATGCTTTCCCTACATTATTTTATGTCTGTAGACTCAGAGTGCACAGCAACATTCAACTTTCCCAGTTACTGGTCAGGGTGGCGTCATGCCCCCATGCCTCACTGGACCTCCCTCTTTTAGCTGAGCCTCACATGATTCCCACAGTGAGGCCTGATTTCGGCTTGCCCTGGAGCTCTGAACTCATTCGTGTCAGATGCAGGGAAAGAGCCAGCTAGAGGGGCCACCTCTTTTTTTCTCCTGTGTTTGTATTTCTGAAAGCTTTCTCAAGACCATTTAGTCTCTATTTCCAGGCTCTGCCTCTTATGAACTATCCTAAACAAAATTTTATTATTTCAATTTAAGGCCTTACTTTTTTTTCAAGAGACATATCATTACTAATGTATGTATCTAAAAATAAGGGGCAAAATCTCCTTCTAAACCAAATCACTTATTAGTGAGTCCAGTGAATATCAAACAGAAATTACTAAGAGTACTAAGATTGTCCAGAAGTAAGCAAGGTAATTATTTACTCAGTTCAGATGACATTTGGTAATTACATTTAAAAACTCTCCAATAACCAACATTCTCTGGGTGGTGTACAAATGAGGTGATATACATCACAGGTGATAATATATACATCACAGTAGAGCATCAATAAAATGGTACAGAATAGCACAAAGTAAAATGGGTAAAAATGGAAAAGAAAAATATTCAGTGGGCAAGGACTCCTGGCTTCGGTTCAGTGTGGGGAGTATCATTTCATCCTGAAACACTCACCTCTCAAGGACTACAAAAATCACATTTTCTTTTGGAGTTCCGCATCCCTCACTATCTGAGGAGGCTACTGCTGTTATATGAGGCATTATGTTTCAGTATCTCTTCGTCAGCGTTATCCTCGCATCAGAGCTCTCAGGTGACTTCCTTTGTTCTCCAGGAACATAATACAAAGTTTTATAATTACAAAACTCTTTTCTAGGGCATTTTTGTTCCACCCTTGCTAAAAACAGTACCTCTATTTTTTTCCTGTCTCATTGAGCATGCCCTTGTTCTGCTAAACTCTTCATCCTGTATTTTCTGTGTTGAATTATACTGAGTGCCTGCATGGACTCCGACTATCCCACTTTAAAGAGGCAAGAATTCTTGGAGTTTGCCACATCCTGTCTACAGTGCTTTGCGTACTGGCACCTCATCACAATAAGCATTCAAAAGAAAGAATTTCAGGCAAACAGGATTGATGGCTCTTACCTCATACAAAGGAAACTGTTCCTTCGTTACTGCAAAAATTAGTAAGACATTGTTTTGTACAATCTTCTCTATTAACTGACCCAAGCTTGGATATTCCTGAAGACAAACAAAAAGAAAAATATATCAGTTCTCAGCAGGGCACAAAAGTGTTAAATTAAAAAAAAAACCTGCATGGTGTCTTCTGACCTATTTCTTCTGTCATTCTGTACAACACAGAAAAGTCTGGAAACAGAAGCTTTGCACTCTCGCATTTGTATTTGTGGCAACTAATTGACTTTTTTAATCCTTGGGTTGCTGCAAAGTTGCAGGCTTCCTTTCCTGGCCAGTTCACACCATCTCAGCTCCCATGACCCTCCCCCTAGACCAGAGGTGGGTGACGTGTCCACTTGCAGCCATCCTTTCTGGCACCTGCCAAGTGCTGCACCCTTCCTACCCTTTATTTGTTCCTATTTTGAGTAACAACTGGCAACTGCAGTTGCTGCAGAGCAGATCTTGAGTGCTCCTGGACCTCGTGGGGCTCAGGATCATTCTCAGGAAATGAGGACTGTGAGCAGCTGCAGACTGATGCATTCACCAGTAATGCAGCCCCAGGAGGGTTTCACAACTGGACAAATGTGCCCACTGGCCCAAAAAAGGTCGGCTTCCACATCAAGTGGAAGGAAGTCACCCCCGCAGACAGCAGAAGCTGGGGAAGGGGGCTGGGAGGGGCAGGAGGTGTTGGAGGAGGGAGCTGGATGGACAAGATGGCCTGCCCTGTCTCCCATATTTTAGCCTGCTGCCCTCAGGAGGACAGTGCGTATTCACTAGTGACAAGCTAAGATTCAGCTACTAGTCTGATCAGCGTCCTTCTGCTCATGGGACTGGAAGGAGGGGAGTCATCTTGTTCTTGTCCTTTGCTGCACGCAGCAAAATGTCTTCAGCCAGCCCTGCTCAGCACACATCTTAGGACATCGTCGCCACCACCGATCTCCACGCGTCAAGATGCTTCTCCTGCTAGTGTAGCCAATTGCCCTCCATCCAGTCTTGCTGCTGGATGAGGATGGCGTTTTGCTGGGGAGGGCTGGCTGTGAAGAACACATCAGTTGCGGAGGGGATGCAGCAGGACAGGTGAAGGTGCGGCTCGGTCCCCTGAGGCCTCCCCTCTCAGGCTTTCAGCTTGGCAGGTGAAGAACGTGGGTAGCGCTGCAACTACACAGAGGCCGGCCTGCTTTCATGGCAGATACTGCAGGGGTTTCAGGAAAGCCACTCCTATATTAACCATTCAGTGGGCACCCTGAGGCAAGTACTGGCATCAAGAGAAGTTGCCTCAGAATTGCACATTTCTGGGCTGAAATGAGACACTCTGTGTGGCGGGGACAGGCACTCCTGACCCACCCACACAGAGCGGCAAGGCCTGCAGGACTGGGGTACCGCAGGCACTCCATGTAAATTTAAGGGCTGGGCTGTGAGGGGCCCTAGGTGGGTAGAAGGTAAGCCATGGGCCAAGGAAACTTGCCCCAAGACACTGAGATGGAAGAAGGAAAGCTGCTGCTTCACAGTCTGATGGGGCATCTCCACCAGAGGGGAGCAGTTATTTGTGTTACACGATTTGGTTACATACAATTTGCATAAAATAATTGCTCTCTGGAACTGCAATTAACCTGTGCCTTCTAATTTTGTACCAACTATAGTTGCGAACACCTCTGTGTTTGTTACACGTGAGATCCCTAAATCCTTAGATCCCTTTGGCAGAGTGAAGTTAACATCCAAGGAGTGGAGCTGCAGGGACCAATGCCTATTGCAAAGGTTTTTGCCCTGAAAGGCAGTCAATAGATATTTAAAATAAAATAAATAAAATGTCTGCTGTTCTACCTGTTCAAACAGGAATATGATATCCCTGTGTGTTGGAAAGAGACTTAGTTGGAAAGAGAAGTTGCCTTCTACATTCTTGAAAATAAGAATGAGATATTTTAGTTTGCAGATGGGAATTTCTAAAAATTATCCCTAGCATTCTATGTTGGAGCTATATTCAATAAACCATACTTATATGCTTATAAAATATTATAACGGAAGGAATTATGCACAACATGAAGCATATCATACCAACACAGTTGACATGGAGTATTCGTTATTGTCATCCAAGTGGCATTCTCCGTCATTTGGAATAACAATTCCTGCTAGTTTACTATCCATTCCAAAATGGGATTCAGCATCACTCACAAACACTAAGAGATGTAATGAATCATTTCTCCAACCAATTCTTTCCTAGAATGGAAATATAAATAGATCATGATAAAGGTAGGATAGAAACCTATGCATATAACATTCTTTGCCATGTGTAGGAATATATGGCTGGTCTTGTGTCTATGAGTACAGCAATACCATCTTTTATTCCGCTGAAGTTCAGTTTAAAGGATACAAGTACATAGGAACATGGAGAAGTCAGGCTATTGGTCCAGCTACGTAGCTCAGTGTGTTTCAGAGGCCTGCAAGCCTTTTGGTGAGTGATTGCTCTAGTCCTAGCTGGAGATGCTGGGAATTGATGCCTGGGCCCTTCAGAAGGCAAAGATGTCTTCTACCATTGAGCTATGAACCTTTGCCAAGGAATTTGAATTTGAAATCAATCATGTTATTTTGTTAGATCTTTAATAATGTTTTCCATGCCTTCTTATCATTCTAAGTGTCATCATGCTTATCGCACTGAACGTTAAATGACATTTCATGGCCAAAACCCAGAGCCATAAACCATTTTTCTGCCCCTTGGGAAACCTATCCCTGCTAGGCTTCCAAGTGTAAACAGATAATCTAGTTTCATTAAGTCAGGCACAAGCCTGTGAATGTTTAGACAAATGCTGGCTAGGAAATGCTATGAGTTGCAGGACATTTTTCCTGTCAAAATATGCATAGGATTGCACCTATGTGTAAATACCTTTAGCCCATGTGAGTTCAAGCAGAGGGCTGATAGTGAACTGATTCACATGGACAATAACACAGAATTTTTCAGTGTTCTTAGCTCCTGGTTACATGGCACACTGACCAAGGAAGGCCCATGATTTGTTTAGCTGCCTTGTTCTCATTTTTTGTGTATGAACTGGGCATTGGGTATGTCGGCATTTATAGGTTGGATTCAAATATTCTGTTCACAGAATAAGTGTTCTGGAGACAGAGGGGATCATTCCATGTGTGGAACCACCTTCAGCACCCATGAACGTGAGCATTAAAGGTAAACAGGATGTACGATGTCAGAATTTTTTGGTTAGCAGTTCATTATATAAAGAGGTGGATGTTACATCTACTGACTGCTTCTGAGGTGGGAATTAATTTGTATCTGAAGCAGTCAGAAGAGATGCATCATATTCTGAGAATCTGTTCACCTCCCTCCTTGAGGCAGAAGAAAAGCTTTCTTCTTGTCCTGAACTGGCCTAATTATGTTGTTTGAAAATGCAGAATAGGAATTGTTCATTATAGTAATGCCCTATTCTAAATTGTTACTATGTATTGTGCCATGCAGTATGGTTTTAGAGTAAATCAGGAAGACATTGGATGACTGTGGCTTAAACAGCAGTATCTGTATCTGAGTTAGATTAGGCATGTTGGAGAAATCCGCAAGACTCAAAAAGGAATACAGAGTTGCATGAATCTGATGGAGTAAGTGCAGAGCAGCTTTTCCAGAATCCCACAAATCCCATGGGCCTGTGGTCTTTTTTTCCTTTATGCAAATTTAGTCATAAAAACATGCAGAAATAAAAAAGAATGAAAAATCCAACAAAAATGTGAGTATTTATGCATCTGTATAAGTACGCATTTGTTCAAATGCATATGAATGCAATTATGTATAATCTGATTCTGCCAATAGTGGATGATAGATCAAAAGGTGCCTAAAATTTCCCAACATGCAGGCAGAATGGATTTAACCAAGTCTGTGCATCCCGATCCCAGATCATTTGATGAATGTGACCATGATGGACATGAAAGATGTGAAGCGGCTATTTTCTGAGATATCTGCTGGGCAGGAGAATCTAATTAGCTCAACCACCACTTCGATATAAGCCTGTGCAAGTTGGCAATAGGCTATCAAGCACACATTATCTCCTTACCTTACAGACAGCAGCCTGCATAATTGCATCAAATCCTCCTTCTGGATTGTCTATATTCCCACTAATGTTCTGCTTTTTCACAATTTCATTGAATCTTTCAGCATCATTTGTCAGTGACAAAATGTGCTTGTATCCAAATGTTGGTGAGCAGTTGCTTTTGGTACTCCTGTAGAATAAATTGCATGCATGTAAAAAACGATGCAGATCACATGAAAAGCGTTCAGGCTGAAAGATACATACTCCAGGGCACCTAACTATTCCTTGTGCATATTTATTTCTGAATGCTGAAAGACTGGCAGAGGACTGTCCATGGCCCCAGGAAGCCTTGTTGTCTTGAGATGTTTCTGCTGCAACAACCTAGCCAAGTGACTGATATACTTTAAATGTTATTGTGCTGCAAGGAAAATTCAGCATGGCAGTCTAGGGCAGGTACGGGAGGATCTCCAGACTATTCTGGTTTGCTTGGCTGAAGCAGCATTGAACTCATCTCATCCAAGCCAACACATAAATCGTATCTCAAGGCCCTCAAACAAGAGGTTCATGCTGAGGGCTGTTCTTCACTTCCCTTCTCCAACACCAGTGGGCTAATAATTAACCCAGCCCCATGGCTGCTGTAGTGGTCATTCTTTGTTTTGGCCGTGTCAGGAAAATGACGGGATATGGAATCCTGTGGATCCATGGCCTTCTCTGACACAAATGAAGAGGGCTGAGTTACCTCAAGGCCTCTGGAGAACCCCGAAGTAGTGCTTCCCAAAGGCTCCATTTGCACCCCCCACAACTTTCCTACAAAGGTGGCTCACTCAGGAATTGCCATAGGAGGAAGCAAGAAATGCTTTGAAGAGGCAGCTTCTACTCAGTTTCTGCATCAGAGGTGAAAAGGGAACTGCTCTGGTAGTGTAACGGGGGGGGGGGGCGCTAACCAGTTTTGGCATGTGGCCCCCAATGTGCTTTCCCTAAGTCAATGTGGCCCTTGGGGTGAAAACATTCCCACATTCCTCTTTAAACCAATCTACCAAACTATGACCAGCTGTAAAACTCTGCTTATATTACATGGAAGTACTTCAAGAGAGATGGAAGATTAATTTTGACCCTCACTGGGAGTCTTTGCTACCAACCAGCATGGGTTCTTTATTTCTTCTGTCGTAGTGTAGATGAACGGCGAAACTGGTTTTTCTACAAAAGACCCAAACCCCAGCTGAAAGTTACTTGTAAGTTTAGACATTTCCTTGGACAAAGTAGAACCCAATTCCTTTATAGTTCGCAGATCATCAATCATGGAAGCTGAAAGATCCATTAGGTAGTAGAGGTCAACTGGATAATCTTCAGTCTGACGAACACTGACCTGAATTGTTTCTTCATTTCCTTGTGAAGCCACCGGGGAATAGAAAACAAACACAGTTGTGGTTAGATGGCAAAAAGCAAAACTGCAGTCCTGGCTGAATCTGTTTATTCTTGAAGCAGCACTGCCTTGTTTTTGAGGTCAAGACTTCAGATGCATTGTTGGCCCTCTCAAGATGCTGAACTGATAGTCCAGTGAAGATAGTGGAAAGTACAGGAAAGCATGGAAGTAATAGCAAACTAATTTCCTTTTGACAATCACCAGACCAGAATATAAAAATGTTGGAATAGTAAATGTTGGAATATCTGACTTGTCATAAATTGGGGCTTTTCCTCCCCAGCTGCCAAACTAGCTTTATAACAGGGCAGACAGGAAGAGTGCTTGGGGGACCCTAGGCCATTCTTCTGTGGGGGGTTTCAGAAGCCTCGCCTAATTGGTGCTCTGAGAAGGTCGGATCCAGCCAAACAGGAAGTGACTGACTAAGAGTGCAAAACACTGTCAAGTGAGGTGCCCCCATGCCAAGAACAGTCAACACCTGGGTGTGCACCGCACGGTTAGATTTAAGCCAGCTCAAATCATAGAGCCCCTGCCCCAGGAATGTGTTCTCCACAAGGTCACTTTGCTTTTGTGTGCAATACAAAATGTCAGGACAGCAGCCCCTGTGCCAATAATAGCAAGGAGGAGCCGGAGTTGTGCTCCCCAAGAGAACCTTTTGCCACTCCAAGTCATGCTGCCAAGCCTTCAGGATAGAATCATGCAGGAGATGACATGTGGCTGCATCTCAGGGTGCGTGAGCACAATGAGCATTTGGGGGCGGGCAAAGCTGACGATAAGCTGCATGCCCGCCAATCTTCCTTCATTTCTACGCAGGTCGGCTATGATTGCTGTACCCAGACAAAGCACTGGGCCAGGCATACTGAAGATTATGTCTGTCTGTCGACATGAGTAGGAATGCTAACATAGAGAAGGATGTTTACAGATTCGCTTGAGAAGAACCAGAGACGGGGTGGGCAATGAGTGGCATGCCGGCGGCCTTGCTGGCAATTCTGCAGCTTTCCAACAAGACCAAATTTGCTACTGCAGTGGCAGCAGGGGCCAAAAGAAAGAAAGAAGAAAGAAAAGATTTGGCTTCCAAACAGGGCACATGTGGAGTGCCTACTTTATTTTAAAGCAATTTCACAATCCCCAAAGCATCCCTGGGCTGTGATTTTGGCTTAAAACAAGTCACATTCTTTTCATACTCCTTGTTTCAAAATCTCCTTTTTTCTTTCCTCCTTCACTGCTGCCATTCCACCAAATTTCTCTGACAAAAATTTGGCAGCACAGTGGCCAGGGGGCAGGATCTGGGGAGGAGGAAATTGACCTCTGAACCCTGGTCATTGCCCACTTCTGGATGAGATGTTCCCCCTTCCCCACAATTACTGTGCTGATAATAAAGAACCACAAATGACCTATCAGATGTTTATTTTTAAGTGTCTGGGAAGTAAGTTCACAACAACGGGACCCATTTCGAATCACAGAAGCAGGGTATGGCCATGTCAGTGACAATGATCTTTCAGCCATTTCTAATAACAACTGCAAAAATGAACAATGGGTGATGGAAAACCCCCTCCTGCACCAAGTTCAACACTGCAGCTTTTTGTTGTTTCTTATACTTGATTCACACGTTTGCATGCAAATGATTTATACCAGATATACCATATAGAGTAATGCATTTTAATGTTTCAAAAACAATTTCATTTTCAACTATATTAAACTTTGGCCTTATTTTTTAAGTCCAGCTTGGACTTTCAACATGCAAACTTATTTCGTTTTAAAGCCAGCCAACCAATTCACGGCGAATAAGGGCCATCGGTGGCTTTTCATCACACCGCTTGTATGCAGCCTCCAATATCAGAGGCAGCTTGTCTGTGTACAACAGGTGCTGGGCGACAGGGACACATGTACACATGCATTTGGGACTGAAGTCTTACCATATCATATCTAAAGCTTAATATGAACAAACAACAGCTAGGAACCAAGGAAGAGAGACATTTTCTTGAAGTACGTAACTCACCTGGCCGCAGTGCAACAGTTAGCTTCTGAGGAGAAATCTGTGTAACATCTGAGTTGTTTTTCTGTGGCCCTTCACTCAAGAGCTTGTTTTTGTGGATTACAACTTTAGAAATGGGGAATTCAATTAAATCCAGCTGGCATCCTTTCGAAATCAGGTTTTCAGGGGTGTCACACCTTACATGAACTTTAGATGGGTCGGTAAAATTCTATGGTCAAGAAAGATTGGGAGAACAGGAGGTGTTACTGCACAGTACAAAGTGAGTGAAGGAAGGGGCACAATCTCTGGCATGTTTACACAGAAATAAAGCCTAAATCTTCCGACATTGCCCAGACAGCCATGCTTAGGGACTTATTTCTGGCTAAATAAGGGTGACTTATTTTATATTGTTAATTTGTTTTATGTATTATATTTTATGTTGTGAGCTGCCCCGAGGCTTCGGCGAATGGGGCGGCATAGAAATGTTTTAATGAATAAATAAATAAATAAATATGCCCAAGACTGCAGCCTAGTTAGATCGCAGTGACTGAAGAGATGATATGTTATGGCACAATAGTTTTTCATGAGTTGCATCACAAGGAGTGCACAGATGTAGGCTAAGTGGGGGTATGTAGGAGGGCAATGTAAATATAAACACAATATTTCCAACTTTTCTATTTTCCATCCAATTCATTTATGTAAACACTGTAAGATACATTAATTTAAATACCTCTGGGGAGGGAAGTGTATTTATTGGTCATCTGATTGCTAAGATATGTATGCATGTGGTGTTTGTTCACACATTTACATATAAATGATTTATACTACATCTAAGATTGCAATTGAACACTTTAATCTTTTTAAACTGCCCAGTTATTGGGTGGTATGGAATGAAATGGAATTATTACTTCAAACACATCTCTGGGTATGAATGATGTACTTATAACTGTTCTGTTCCATGCACTGGTCACTTTCTTCTGGACCTTACTGCAATGAGGATATTTATTTTATTTATTTTATTAAAACTTTTATATACTGACCACATTAGCCAAATGGCTCTCTGAACAGTTTACAATAAAAGTTTTTTTAAAAAACCAAAATGTTAAACAATACAACATAATATATGTAAGTGTGATATGAGTCACAACATACCAGTCCCATATCCAATTAAATACAAATGCGTAGATAGATAAATAAATGAACAATCCACAGTGATCCAACAACAGTGTACATAAAATACAGAATAAATTAACATAAAATGCTTAACAATTAAAGTACTGGGGAAAATAGAAAGATTTTAGCCTGGCACTAAAAGGCATAAAGAGTCAGCACCAGGCTCACCTTTCTGGGAAGCTGATTCCACAGTCAGGGTGCCACAACTGAAAAGGCCCTTCTCCTAGTGGCCACCTTCCTTCTGGCCATCTTTAGAAGGGGTTCCTGGAGAAGGACCTCAGTGGATGAGCTTAAGATCTGGGTTGAATATATACTCACTGAATGGAAAAATCAACACCCTACATGCACAATACTGATCTCCTAGATGTACACCCTTTTGATTTCATAGATCCATCACCAATATTCTCAGCATTGTAGAAATTAAAAAATATTATACAGCAAAGACATGGAGGATTCTATATCTTTTCTCAGAGTGCAGATTGGAAACATCCTGTTCTCCATACATGGCTAGCCTCTGATTGCCAGACACAGAAAGTAGAGAACAAAGGTCACTGGACCATAATCATGTATTGAATTTTATTTTTTATTTTTTGCTTTGCAAGTTTGCCTTCTGGGAAATGAATATTTGTGCCCACTTCGGCAGCCATTTTATGAATGAAGAAGCACTTCCAAGGTAGCTAGTTTGTGAGAGCACCCACAACATGCTCCCAAATTATCAAATCTGTCCTCCAACTAAAAGGGATGGAGGCTTTGAACTTGCTAATTTGAAAGCCCTGGCCTGGATAGGTTTTGGTGGCTGCTATATTTTTGTCAAACTTTGGGAAAAAAGTGACTTCCATGGGAGAACAGCAGCAAGCTAGTGAGAGAACTGCAAGGTTTAAAAAGAAGTTCATTTGAAGCTCATTAGCAAGGCATAGAAAGCTTTAGAAGATGCCCCCGTATCAGGGATCATTTACTGGGATGTGCTGAGAAGCAGAATATAAGTTTCACCTAGTTTATAATATGTAGTTACACCTTCGTATGCATTGGGATGTACCTATTTGTGATTGTTGCCTTGTGCTCCTGTTATATGACATTCATCGTAGTATATATTCTTGGTTCTGGCTTTGTTCAGTGAGTGAGTGCTGCTGTTTTAACAACAGATTCCTCACTGTGCAGAAAGATAATAAATCTTGCAGCACACCACAAACAGGGACTATTTTACTGACCTCCAAATCAGTGAAGTAGAGAGCTGGTTGCTCACCTTCTTGGTTTAAAGTGAGAGAGTGTTCTTTCCTAATTTCTCCCACACCTGCCTTGATCTGCTTATGCAATTCTGCATGCTCTGTCTTACTAGGGCAGCCAATAAAATGGTTATTCATATCAACAGACAAGATATATCATTGAATTAGAAACAGTACCAGAGTTTCTGCACTGAGTCATACCACCATATTAGCAATATAATATTATTAAGACCATAGAGCATGCAAAGCTTTCTCCACAATATAATGTTACAATAATGAACATTTCTACTAAAACTGAACTTTGGTAATGGATCTATCCAAAACAGGATATTGGCTTTCCCCCCTTAATTTAGCAATCAAGCTTGCACAGCAGGATCAGATCCTGTGTATGTTTGTGTGTCTGGGTATCATCCAGTGTGATTAAATCTTGAGAGAGGGAAATGTCTGATCGTTTCAGGCAAACATTCTGCTTTTGCTGACTTTTCAAAAAGATGCATAACCTCATAAGCCCGTATTTTAGGGATGCTTAGACTGAATATTTTGCCCAACAGATTGTCCACAAGGGGAGGCACAACACAAACACCATCCGAGGAAAGGCACAGTAGAAGACCCAACTGGCGGCATTTAGGAATGTTTGGGTGCCGGGCATGCAGCTTCATTCCAGGAGAGAGGGGAGCAAAGGCTAGGCCCGAAAACAGAAGACACTGTCTTTGTTGGCTCCTCTCCTGGAAGCAAGGCCTACACTGTGATGCATCCAAAGACTGCTGATGTTTACTCAAGGCATGTTTCATTCTTCCATGGCACTCAGCATTGAGAAGGGGCAACAAATCTGATAATGGAGAAAAACCAGATGATCCAGGACCATTCCTCATATGTCCAGAGTTTCCACAGATCCAATCTTGTCTGAATCCAGACCAGCCAGGTGATGCACCAAATTCACCAAAGGCTGAGTACATTCCAGTAAGAGAAAGGACTATGGGAGAGGTCCAGATAAATGTAACAGAAGCCACCAAAGGCCCAGAACAAAGTCTCAGACGCCCCACAAGACCCAGCAAAGGAATTCCTGCACTGCTCTTGTCCTATCTTGCCAAATCAGTGTTATAAGAAGAACCTTCAACCTGGCAGTAAGCTGAACAGTGCCTAATGCTGAGGGCAACAGGTGGAGGCAAGCTGCACAGGAAGAAGCAGAGTCCTAAAAAACCACAAAACTTGGACTTAACTGAATTGGCACTTGCCAAAAAGTTAATCAAAAGTAAACCAAAATGCAGACAGCAATACCGAACACTACAAGGCAAGGTGGTTGCAAAAGGCAAACATATGGAAAAAACTATGACAAAATCACTAGCCAGAGATATTTTCATTAGCCTGTGCAACAGACTGAGACTTTAATAATAAATGTATGCATGTTAAGAGGGGGTGTCAAGTACATGTAACATTTCCTGCATGAACATTGCATGGTTTTTCCATTAATCAGAGTGGAAGGAAAAGGGAGAATGTCATAGAGACTCGTAAGGCAAGACTGTTCCCCTTTCTCCTTTCTTCTTTCTCTAGGCTTCTTGCCTGGAGAAAACGGGGTCCTTCTCCTCTTCTAAGCTACTCAGCAAACAAGCCAAGATATCCTGCATGAACACGTCACATCTCTCCCTCATGCAAGTCACACCTGGATTGTTCATGAGCAAATAAACCCTTTTACCTTTTGTTAAAAGGCTCTCAGTATGGATTCTAATAGAGTCAGGTGCAAGCAACTGCCTCTTAACTACACCTGCTCTTTAACGCTTACCTCTGCTGAACTTTCAGGTAACTAAATATACAGCAGGTTTCCCACGAGGCATAATCTAGTATGGGGGACTTTAATTTTCCCAATACCTGTTGGGAGGGAAATTCTGCCAAACATGGCCCCTCCAAGAAATTCCTAACATGTGTTGTTAACTTCCTCCTACAGAAAGTAGAGGAAGGAACTAGAGGAATGGCTATCCTTGATTTGATGCTATCCAACAGAAAAGACTGCGTGGACAAAGCGGCAGTTACTGTAGTCCGGGGGGAAAGACCATGCCATAGCTGAATTCGTGATTCTAGAGAAAGCAAATGCCAAGTGTAGCCAAACACTTCCTCTAGATTTTAGGACAGCTGATTTTAATAAATTCAGAACAATGATTAGTAACATCCCATGGCAAGTGATTTTAATAAGAAAAGGAGTCCAAGATGGGTGGAAAAATTTTAAAAGAAATTCTAATTCTAATAACCAATTCCAACAATAAAAAATGGTAGAAGACAACAGAAGAAGTCCATGTGGCTTCACCATAAACCTGAAAACTGGAAACCTGATGATCTGAAAACAAAAAACATGTATAGGAAATGGAAGGAAGGCTACAAAGGAAGCAACAAAAAAGTGCTCTTCTGATATGCCCACAGTAAAAGGCAGAGGAAAGAAATGGTGGTTCAGGTACTCAATGTGGATGGTTAAATGATAACAGGTGACCAAGACATGTGCCCTCATTTGGCTCAGTCTTCTCCCAAAAGAGGATCTATGATCTCCCTGAGAGAGGGGAAGTACAAGCTGAAGGAGCAGGATGGCAGTTCAAGATTAATAGGCGAATGTGGGAAAATGTTGGAAATGCAAAGAGATAGATGGGACATTTTACCATATGTGGTGGACCTGTGATATAATTAAAAGATTTTGGAAGCAGATACATGCAAAGATGCAGAAAACACTTAAAACTGACTTTCCAATGGATGCTAAGAACATGTTATTCAGTATTGTCTCAGAGAGTATTTGAAAGGTTATGACAGACTTATATAAATATACGATAACAGCAGTAAGAGTGACCATTGCTTCAGAGTGGAAAGCTGAAGATTGCCCAGTTGTCAAAGAATGGAAAAGCAAGCTTGCAGTGTATGCAACAGTGACAAAGCTAACTAATTAGGTCAACAGAAGACCAGTTAAAGAATTTACTCAAAGATGCAAGGCTTACTATGAGCAATTCAAATAATTGTTAAAGAAACTAAAATTTATGCTATGATTTATAACTAACTTGACAGAGTGGATAGATTTCTGATTGAGAATTGAATGGGTTGGATGGGAAGATGGTTGAAAGAGACTTTTGTTTATTATAAATGTGCTTAAATGAGGAGTTGCTTGGCACCTTCTTTCCTATACATGTTTTTCTTTTTATTGTACTTTTAAAAAATAAATAAAAATATTTGGAAAGGCTGATAGGCATATGGTCAAGGAACATCTAACTGGGTTGAATGAGTTCAAATTTCCAGGGCCTGTTCCTAGAGGGAGCTGGTAGAAGAACTCTGAGAACCACACTTTGAGAAATCATGAAGAATGGGAGAAGTGTCAGAGAATTGGAGAATGCCTAATGCTGTTCCCATCTTCAATAAAAGAAAAGGGGAAGGATCTGGAAACTACCAATCAGTGTGACATCAATCACTGGGAAAATTCTGGAGCAGATTATACATCAGTTGATCTGTAAACACATTGAAAACAGTGCAGTGATACTAGGAGCCGGAATGGATTTGTCAAGAACAAATCCTGCCAAACTAATCTGATTTCATGTCTTGAGTGATACCTCCCTGGTGGACTGTGGGAATGCTGCAGACATAATATATCTTGACCAGCAAAGCTTTTGACAAAGTGCTCCACGATATCCCGCTAAGCAAACTGGCCAAAAGTGGGGTAGATCAATGATCGGATTATTCCGCAGCTACCTACAGAATTGGGCTCAAAGAGTGCTCGTCAATGGTACCTGCTCAAATGGGGAGCGATAACAAGCGAGGTACTGCAGGGTTCAGTTCTGGACCCAGTGCTCTTCAACATTTCTATTAATGATTAGGAATATGAAATGCAGGGAACACTTATTAGATTTGCAGATGACACAAAAATAGTTAATCACCTGGAAGACAGAAGCAAAATTCAAACTGATCACGATATTTAGAAGTGCTGGGCTGAAATGAACAGAATGAAACTTAATGGGGCAAATGTCAAGTTCTGCACCTACGAAAAAGAAATCAAATGCACCAATACAAAAACCTAAGCCCTACCTCTTGAGGAGCTCGACCTGATGGCTCACCGCCAATATCAGAGGGAAGCCCAATTGGGGCACAAGAGGAGAGGAGGTGTGCCCATTTCCAAACTGTGCCTCCTCTGGGGTTGAGACACAGAAGGGCTCATAAGGAGAGCTTCAGAAAATGAATGGTAGGTAGGGTTCAGCATTCCACTTTGCATATGCTCAGAGGCTTATATGTAGCAATAAAGATCATTAAGCAAAGACATTCAGGTGACCTTGACCCTGCTGGATCAAGCCAACTTTCTTCAACCATGTGGCTTTCATAGGCTAGTTCTGTCTCTTTCACTTGAAGCCTGGTCATAAGTTTCTAATTTCTAAGTGTATCTGCTTCATGCCCTTGGTGCACCTCTTTATTTTTGTCACCATATTTCTTTTGGTCCATAAAAATCTGTTGCTTCAAAAATGTACCGATTGACCAATCATCAGGAAAACTCTTTTTAGAGATATCTAGCTTTGTGGAGTCACCACTGAAAACATGCATCATCATCATCATCATCATCATCATCATCATCATCATCAATTGCATTTCTAAAACAGCACCCCCAACCATGCCGTGTATCAATCTGTTTTTGAAATATCTGAACAGCCTCTCTGTAAGGTGGTTTAGATGAAAGGATTGAGGAAAGTCACTTTTTTACCGTAGACCTTTTGATCAAGCCTCTAGATTAGTTTTGGCAAGCCAGGATCTGGATTAGAGTCCAAAATATGAACAAACCCTTGACATAATTGCCTCCAATGAATGCACGACTTTAAAATATTTGAGTTACCTCTTGAAAACACCAGCCGCAGTGTGGTCCAACAAGCAAACATTCTTCACAGTTCACTGCACTCCCTGGATCACAATCTCCTATATTTCAAAGTAAGAAATTATAGTAGGTTAATGTATGTTTAGTTATTCTAGGTACAAAATATTCCAGATAATGTCCCTTCCAGCTTCTTAAAAGTCAGCCTGTGACCAGAACAAGTTCTACTTGTCTGTTCAAAAGTCTTTAGAAAGTCAAAACAAGTGACCACAAATCCTACGAAAATTAAAATTACAATAATTAAACTAAGTCTTGTTCAGCCTGTTATATATCTAAGTCACAGCTACAAGTTATAAATACAGGCACAGGAGTAAAATGCATACACCTTTGTGTAGGAAGATACTGTAGATGCCTGGCAGCATTTTATTAAAGTAAAAAAGTGAGCAGAGGGTAGTGGGAAACATATTTTCAAAATCTGACTCATCACCTGTGAGTCTTACCTTGTACTTTATCTCTTTGCAGAAACAGGAAAAAGACGTAAAGCAATTTCATTCCCATTCGTCGTTCAGTTGTAGCTGCATGTACAAAAGATATCAGGCATTAAGTACGTCCAGTATGAGATCAGTGCAGAACCTTTCAGAAGTCATCAAGTCTTCCTATGTATTGTTTAAGCCTTCAGGTTTTAGAAGAAACCTCCTGATTACCTGAACACTGTACTGATACAGACAAAGCAGAGTAGGTAGGAACTTGTAGGTGGACGGCAAGCTGTGCGTAAGGTAATCAGCATGGATATGGAATGTTCTTATTTTACTTCCTTGTTTCCCTTATAAGGAAGGCAGGTATACAGTCAGAAGGTGAGGAATTCACACAGGTACAGTGCTGGATCTTTTACACTGATCTTTTACACTTTTACACTGCTTAGCGAGGTACATATAGACTCCAAAGCTTCATTTAAAAAGTAAACTCAATCTGCTCAGCATATTTGTTGAATGATTTAATTATTTGAGTTAGGTACCTGGATTGGCATAAAAATCCCATCCTTTCCAATGTCCTTGCTGGGTATGAACCTTCTAAAAATAATTCTGAAAAGGGAAAAATAAATACATACTACTGAGAAAACGTAATAAGAAACATAGATATATCATTTATTAATTATTAATTATATTTCTATACTGACCAATAGTCAAAGACTTCTGGGTTGTTCACAAAAATTGAAACCCTAAAATGCAACACGATGGCAAATAATATTAATCCTTTTAGCTGAAGACGAAATAAAACCAGAGTAAGAGCCAGAGCAAAAGCAATGTAAAACTGAAAACACAAGAATATGCTTACAAACATAACGGAAGAGCTAAAGATTCTGGAATAATACAAAGTTCTTCAGCTGATCAGGGAAGCCTTTCTGGCCAGGGCATTCCAGAACTGGTGTGCTAGCCCTGAAAAGGCCATTTCCTTAGTGGCCACCCACTTGACCTCATTTGGGGGAGAACCCAAAGGAGGGCTTCTGAAGATGACCTTTGGGTACAGGACAAATAAATACGGGAAGAAATGATCCTTCAGAAAACCTAGCTCCAAATTGGAGAAACTTGTGGAATGTGTAGAATTTTGCATAAGAGTCATAAAACAGACTACTGCGCATGTGGGGGGCTGAAGACTAAAATTGTTGGAACTTTCAACTAAATACCAGCATGTTGTAATGCATGTTGCAAGATAACTAAGAGAAGAGATTTACATGAGCTTGGGAGCTTGGCAAAATGTTGACTGCCTGAGGTCCTTTGCATACAGACAAGCATCCCAAGGCACAGGAAACACTTAATTGCTTTCCAAATGATAGCTGAAGGTGGAATTTAGATTAATTCACAATAATTTGTCTCCTGCTCAAGCACCATCAACAGGAGTTGATCTAAATTCCAGACTATGGAATGCGCTCCCCAGAGAGGTCCACCTGGTGCCGTTATACTCCTTCTGGCACCAGGTAAAGATCTTTTTATTTAACCATCATTTTAACAATTAAGGGTTTTAGATGTTTTAAGATTTTTTGTTTTCTTTTTGTTTTCACAGTTGCACTTCCTATTTTATTTTTCCTTTCTTATTTTTTAGTTTATAATGTTCAATTTTAGATATTTTAATAAGTGTGGTTTTATTATTGTAGTTTTGGAATTTTATACTATGTAAGCCATCCTGAGCGCTTGTGCGGAAGGATGGGATACAAACGCTTGTAATAAATAAATAAATCCAGTTGTGAGTGAATGGGGAAATCCCAGTGAGCATGAACACTACTGGGTCAGGGTATTGTAGTGAACCCTAACACAAACTATGGCATCCTACACTGCGTTGTCTATTGGGCTTTAATGTCTGGATTCATGTTCCACTTGGAGCCATGTTACAGCCAAGATGTTTCCAGACATAGCACAAACAACATGGCTAAATGATACATTTGTTTGAAGCAAGGCAGCAGCAAGAAACTTGAAGGCTGCTTGGGATGAGAGAAAGAAAAAACTCCAGAAGGATGCTAGTACCTGATTACATCTCTGTGTCCTCTATTGATTAAATTATAGGAAGTTATCCCCAGGAAATTCTAGATACATGCAAATGCTTGCCTGACTGCCAAGCAGCTGACTCAGCCAGTCCTCCCACTATTGGCCAAGCCACTTCCTTAGTGGGAATCATGGAGCAAGCCTTGAGTCAGTGGTCTGGACTTCAGTACCAAGGTCCAGAGCCCTGCAGCCCTTGTGGTGAGGGAAGGGAAGGGGCAAATAAGTGTCCAGAGAGCATCAGGTGATGGGAGACGCAGTAAATAGGCCCAGTGTCAGCATATTTGCATGAGCATACCCAGGTCTACCACAGTCCGTGCTGTGTGTGTCTGTGTGTGCATATATAATGCATTGCCAGCCTGTCAGAAATGTGACTGGAGTTGTTCGTTATATGATTATCTGCTTTAAAGATACTATTCTGAAAGATTAGTATATTATTAATATCCTATAATATAATAGTATATTATGAATATATTATTCTAAAAGAACTTTATGCCTGTGAGTCCCGCTAGGATGGGTTATGGCTGTGTGGACAACTGAGGATGGTGAATTTGGGATGGTGCACTGGCTGCATGCATAGGAGTGGATCCGAGCTTTTGAGCATCTTCTAAGATAGCTCAGAGTGGTGTATGTTTTTTTGACGGGGGGGGGGGCGGGGATCTGGAAGCACACATTCGAATAGTATCTAAACCAAGAGCCACACACGCTAACATTTTAAAGCAGTTTCAGAAATGCATGTGGATTTTTGAAATGTTCTGTGCGCCTCCAGGTGAGCCTGTGGAAACCTTTTGAGCTCAGGGTTGCTCTCTGGTTTCTGCTGTAAGGAGATCTTGCTGCCTGTTCTTCCCTGCTCCACCCATGGGTGCTGCCCATTCGCACCACAGCCCCTTGGATTTGGTGGCGGCCGGTGATTACAGCCAGCACGAACTCTCTGGGTTCACACTCTGGGAATGAAACTCTCATTTACTGGGAGATCCCATTAATTTTCTGAAGCTGATGAAACATTATTCCTCCTGACATTTCAGTGAAATTACTAATTATAAGTATCACTTGGGTGTAGCATTTGCCGTTCCTGAGATGTGGCATACTGTTTGCAAAATAGATTCAATCAATCTTGTAGTCCAGCTCACACAGAGGAGTAGCATCCTAGCAAAGGAATGTCTTGCCAGCTCCGATTTTTCACACTTAAAAATGGTGGCTTTCTAAGCATCCTCTTTCCTCCATTTTGTAGTGCAGTGCTGTTCAGACCTGAGATATGCAAGCAATTTTTCTCAAGGTGAACAATCAGTGTGGAACCCATTCATGAATATGCTTCATGTAATGCATTTTATTTGAACAAAATGTTACAGTTAACATTGCAACAATACCTATAATATAAAGAGAAACAATGTATCAATGAAGCCATTGATTACTTTGTAACTAAATAATGCTGAATACGTACTAAATTTTACTATCACAAACAAATAATACAAAAATATATTTCATTTTAATGACTTGGATGTGCTTGTCTTTTGCCCCATGAAGATCTTATACAGGGGTCTCAAACTCAACTGACCTGGGGGCCGCTGGAAGTAGAGGCTGGGTGAGGCTGGGCCGCATCAAGTATTCCACCACCGTGGGGGTGGTGGGCCGCTCATCCTGCCTCACTCCCGGAGGCCGGCCCAGGCGCTGCCGGTGCTTTGAAGGCCGCAGGGCTCCTCCCCTGTGCCCCACCCGTCCCGGCAAGTGGCCCGCAGGCCAATTTGAGAGTTTGAGATCCCTGCTCTTATAGTTCCATGGTCATGATAAGAGTAAAGTGTCATGTCAGACCCTTGGATGATTCTCAGAGGACCCTGGGAACATGGGGGACACAGTTTGAACACTGCGGCTCTGCAGGGAAGCCACAGGGAACATGGGGAGAAGGGCAGGGAAACAACTGAAGGTCGACTGTCTTTCTCTCCTCCTAAGAGCTGCTGCCATTTTGCCGAGGCTGTCCAGGCTGAGCCCAGAGCAGCCTTCCTTACCCAGTGCTGGAAGCCACATGGCCAGTTCATGCTATTCCCATTAGTGAATGCTCCCAAAAAGAAAGCAGAAAGCCCAATGGGATACTTCCACTCTTACTGCCACCACTAGCCCCTCACAGCTTGCAGCCCCCTGCCCCAGAAGCCACCTCTCTCACTCCCAGAAGAGTACCACAACAAAGGATATATACTTTGTGAAAAACACAGCCTATACAAACATTGTGAGATAGCCAGCCTGAAGAAATCTGGGCTGTGATGCCAGAAATGGTGCCAGAAAGTCAGGTGACTCAGGCATTACACGCTGTGAAAATCCCTGGCAGAGGTTCTCACCCCAGTCCACCCGACCCACCCCAGAAGATGCAAAGGCAAAACTTCCCCCTGGCTGCTTGCACACATCACTGCAAAGGCAGACTCTTGTTTCACTTCATTTTCTGTTTTGTTTCCAGTAACTTGTGCCATTAATCAAACAAAGAAGTGAACAACTTCCTTAGGAAGCTGCTGAGTGAAAGCTGAAGGAACAGAAGCTTTTATGTATCACTGGAGGTATAAAATCAACATTCAGCCAGAGCTAGAAGTACGGGCAATAAATGTGAAAGAGCCCAGTGTGATGCAGGAGCGCAGTGCAGGACATCCTGTACTGCTCTTTTTGCCTAGAAGAAGGGTGGGTGGGCATGTGCCTTGCCTTTCCTGACTACCACCCCTGGAAGGATCCCTGTCACCCAAGACCACCACAGATACTCTCCTGGGAGGAATCCACTCGATTCCAGTAAGTTTGCTGCAAGCAGATATCAGGTGCTGCACAAGCTTAGAAACTTCACGGGGTCCATCAATAATATCTGGGTGTTTTTCTAAAGAAAAGATTAAAGCCTGTATTGCCACATCTTCCCCTCTTTTCCTTGTTGATGGGCACAGCTGGAGTTTGCTGATGATTCCTGCATCAGAAATTTATCTAGCTCAGAGAAACAGCTGTAAACTGCATGGCCCAGAGATGCTGCTTCTCTGCATTACCCTGCTTGTGTTAATTCAGAAATAAGTTCCACCTAATTCAAGAGGGCTGCCTTACTCCTTAGTAAGAATGGTTAGGATTTCCAATATAAGCCCAGCCAAAGCACTAGCTCAAGTGCTTGACCCATTGATAAAAGCACATGGTCACGTCAGTTCCTCTATTGAGGAAGCTGCAGGTGATCTTGATGCCTGGAAGCCAGAATGGAAGGGGAGAAGGAGAACCGGAATGGGATAGGTTTCCCTTGCTGGTGAAAGTAAACAAGATGCGGCTGTGTTTGACAAATTCAGGAGGAAAAATCTGACCATTTAAGTTTGTTGTTCAGCTTTTAAGTCCAGTTGACAGGAAAGCAAACAGGCTTCAGGTGGTTATTATCTGGTGGCTGTAGCTATTTTTAAAGGTGTATGCCTTTTGTGAACAGTTGTGAAAGGTCTACACCTTTGTCCATGGACCCAGCACAAGCCTCTGGGCAGCTCCAAGCTCCTCATCCTGAAAGCCTGTTCATGTGCAAACACAATTGATTTTGAGACAAATAAAAGAAAATGCACAACAGATAAAAGACAGCTGCATTTGCTACCACAAGATGTAATATTGACCACCAGCTTGGAGGGCTTTAAAAGGGGAGTAAGCAAACCTGTAGAGGGGGAGGGGGAGGGGGGGTCTCAAGGGCTGCTGGCTTGGCTACTGGGTAGGCTTACCTTCCCCTCGAAGATCAATTTGCATCTTGGGAGTGTTCCTGGCTGTTATGCTGTCCTTGCCAGCTGTGACTGCTCCTGAGTCAGCCTGATCTGGCAGCAGTGATCCACAGCTTGGTTAGGTTATGGGGCTGCCCTTGGAGGGTGTCTGGAAGGCTCAGCTGGTGCACAGTGTGGCAGCTGGAGTGTTAAGGGGTGGGTGGTGTCATGCTCATGTTGCCACAGTATGGAGCAATTGTATGGTACTTGGGTAAGCATTCCAGGGACCACTGGATGCCTTGAAAAATGCCTGCTGAGCTCACAGCCACTACACTGAGGTCAGAAGGGAGAGCTGGAGAGCCCATCTCCAATTCCACACCCTTGCAGGTGGCGTGAGGAGAAATATAAGGTCAGAAAATTAACCTTGGGAAGAGAGAATAGGGGGCATTCCAGCGGAAGGAGAGGAGAAGAAGCAAGAAGCCAGGATATGAGGCATCCCAAGCCTTGTCTGTACTTCCTCCCTATCCCTCCAAAAAGCTTATCTAGGGAAAAAGCTAGAGGAGGAGCTAAAGGAGGTCGGAGGTTAGGGAGGCAAAGATTGTCCCCTCTGTTCCTCCCAGCCTGCCAACTGCAGCCCTGAAGGATGTAGAATCCTAGAAGCATGCTCAGTGTATGGCTTGGCTGTCTGAAGAACCACCTCTTTTGATACCAATCTGCTTCCTCACCAAGATCAGTGGGAGCAGCCCTTTCAAAGACGCCCTCACTTGCCGAGGCCCCCTGCCCATAGTTATTTTTTAAACAAAGTTTTTAATATTTAAC